CTGAATGACCTGGACAATAATAGTATGCCTTTGATAGAAACAGATGTGAAGAGAAAAAGCTAAGGCTAAGGGAAAAGGTTGGTTGGAAATGTAAGGTGTACAGAGTTGTTTGGCTATAAATGAGCAACTTTAAATATTACTTTATCATTTGTCATTTATACTGAGGGTGCTTTAGAAAGTATCCCAACTTTCTGGCCAACAAGATACTGAAAATTGGCCTCAAACCTCCAAAGACCAGTGCTTTATGCCCACTTCGTAGCACGCTACTTTTTATAGGGGAAGGAATGACAGTCAGGTTTCAGAAGTTGGAAAGTTCTAGGAATCCTTGTAGTTTTAATGTACTGGAGAAGAACTTTTATACAGAAGTAAATGAGCTACAAGGAAGTAAAAATATGAATGTGACCATTTGAAGATTTTTCAGCTACTAAAGCAAAGGATAATCGCTTGAAAAAGGTATCAGGTTTTGAAATCAAGGAATGAATGTTTATTAGGAGCCTTTTCTAGAGTAAAACAAAAAGAAAAAAGAAAAAAGAGGAAAAAAACAGTTTTCATTGGCAGGGATTTAATATGCTCCCCTTATTTACTTTTTCAAAACTTTGTAATCATTGATTAGCTTAGAAAAGATTTCAAAAGTCCCCTTGAATAGTGTGCATTATAGTGACCAGCTATCCATCATGGTGACCAGCTGATTCTAAGAGAAGAAGAAATAGGAACTGGAAGGAACTATTATTAACTGGGCAACTAAGAAACTGAAGGGGGGGTATTTTCCTTTTTGAACTTGTCCTAATTCAGTCTTCTGTTCTTTAATTTATTACTTCCTTAATCATCATCCATAGACATCTGATTCAGCATACTAATGCCAGGTTAATTGTCAGCTACATTTTACAGCATTTCATTCTTCTGGGACTATTTTATGCAGACTAGGCCAGAACAGTTGGATGATTTTTCTGGAAATAGCTTTATTTGATGTTATTTTAGGATCATTTCTAGGATAGGCAGAAAAATGGTTCCCCTAAAGATACCCATATCCTAATTCCTGGAAATTATGAATGTTATTGCATAGGCAAGGAAGAATTATAGCTACAGACATAATTAAGGTTGTTTATTGGTTAATCTTAAAATATCTTTCTTAATTTGGGTATAATTTAGAGCTTACTTTAATCACAAGATCCTTTAAATGTGGAAGAAGCCAGATAATGTCAGAGAGAGACGTAAAGATGCTGTGCTGCTGGCTTTGAAGACAGAGAAAAAGGACCACAAATAAAGAACCCAGTCTTGAGGAGCTAGAAAAACAGTCTCCCCTACAGCCTTCTGAAATACAACTACCAACTGATGGGTTCTGCCTTTGTGAAACTGTCAGGCTCAGCATGGCACCTGCCCAGCGTGGCACTGGACCCTAGACCAACAGCATGTTCCTCCAATATTGATTTCAGTGTTCCTCTTCCAAGCCTGAATTAGCTTCCTGCTTTCTGTATGTGCCAGCATCTCCCCTATCAGCTATCAATACATCATTCTTCCCATCTCTTGAAATTCCACCCCCTGTCGAACCTAATAAAAGCACTCTGGCTTCTTTCTCTGCCTTAGAGGGGTCGTGCACTCTTCTGTAGCCTTCTCAGGCCACAATAACTGCCTTTCTCCTCTTTATGTCTTTGTTTCTTCACTGAGCCAAAAAAGCTAATGCCAGCACCATTGATTTTAGCCCATTGAAGCCCATTTTGGACTTTAAACTTCCATGAGATTATAAATGTATGTTTTAAATCAGTGAATTAGTGATAATTTATCACAGCAGTAGCAGGAAGAATGAAGTTCCTGATACAGAAGAATTTACAGTGTAACAGAAATGACACTTTTGCATATTTTAAAATTAAGATTGTAAAACTTAGATATTGTTCTTATTAGAAACAACCAGTAAGTCCTGGCCATGTTAAAAAGGGAAAAGAATGTGTCATGCATGAACACCAAAGAGTGGGTGCCATTGGAAGTCATTCTAGTAGTGTCTACTGCACATAGAAATCAGTGAGTTTATCAATATACCACTGTAAAATTATTGATACATTATGTCAACTTGAGAAATTTGAAAGTGAAGTGACTTGGCCAATGGCCCAGGGTCATCACTTTGTAAATAACTTCATCCTGTTGAAGAGGAGGGCATAGAGATGATGTGAGTATTATACTCACTTGGGGAGATGAGGTCATTTGCTCACAATATTAAGGAGGAAAAGAGGCTTGTTCTCCTGCCTTTTTGCTCTTGTTGCCTTTGCTGTCTTCCATGGCCATAAGCTGTTGCCTCACTGCCATACCACCCTGCTTTGGAGCCAGCTGATTATCAACTGAAACTTCCACAAACTGTGAGCTAAGTAAACTTTTCCTTCATTAGTGTTAGGTGTTAGGTATTTTGTCACAGCAATGAGAGGAAAATAAGACAACTAGAAAAATCGTTTATAATTAAACTGAATTCAACTGAATTAAATTCAGTAATTTCAGAACATTTGCAATGTAACAGAAATAAATCTCCCATTTGGAATGAAAAAATGAAAATGGAAACCTTTTAACTTTCAAACAAGAAATTCAAAACATATATTAAAATAATCACATTGAAGCTAAGTGTGGTGGTACATACCTGTAATCCTGGCCTCTGGGAGGTTGAAGCAAGAGGATCCCAAATTCAAGCCCAGCCTGGACAGCATAGCAACTTAGTGAGATACTCTCTCAGAAAACATCTTTGAAGGATGAGAGTGTAGTTCGATGGATGGTAGAGTCCACCTGGTTTCAATCCTCATTACCAAATAAAACTTATACAATTAATAAAAAAGACAATTTTTTAAAAACAAGGTATATTTGAGCAGACATTTCCTCAAAGGAGATATAGATTATTTTACAAAATAACATCATAAAGTATTATTAATCTCAAATAGTTAAGTACCAAGATTCATAAACAACTGGAAGCCTCAGTTCTCTTTTTATGCAGTTAGCACACACTTAACCATACAACCCCACCTAGGAGTTTACTTAAGATAAGTGCAACTATGTACAGTATACACAAAAAGTGGTATGACTATTGACAGCGGCTTTATTTAGAATGGTCCAAAATATAGAAGTAGTTTTATTATATTATGATAGACTCATATACACTTAATGAATTTAGGAACAAACTGAACTACTGATAAATGGAATATCATAGATGACTCATAAAAGCCTGCTAAGTGAAAAAAAATTAGACACAAAAGACAACGTGTGGCAGGATTCCATTATGTGAAATTCTGGACAAAAACTACAGTGACAGTTTATTAGGGGTAACTGGGATTATGGTAGGTAATTACCAAAAAGACACAAAAGAGAACTGCTGTGGTGATATAAATGTTTCACATCTTAACTATGGTAGTTTTATTTGTTACACAGTTTTCAAAATTCATCAGTATAAAATGGATAAATGCTACTATATATATGTTATATCCAAACACTGAATTAAAAACACTCTGCATACCCAAACACAAATCAAATCAAGCAGTTTCCTCCAGGTTAATATATTACTAAAACTGAGCTCTGTTGGAATAGGAATAATTATAGAATTCAAAGGAAAATTGTTACTGACTGAGAGGACTGATAACAAAAATTTCAGAGCTCTTCCTGATAACATCAGAGTATTGGAATTGAATTAGAAGCAGGAAGGACGATTGAAGGAGAATGTAGCAGAAGTGAAGTCTGAAAAGAGGACGGATTTCTGAGAGGCTCATTTGGATAGCAGTGGAGCATTAGACTGCATTAATAAAGTAGACTCCAACTGTAGTGTACCTTTGTTCTAGGATGAGATAAAAGGAGTTGACTACTGAGTTAATGGCTTCCAACTGGAAAGGGTGGAAAATCGGTGTAATAAGGTATTCAAAGTTTTAGATTCTTGAGTGGAACTTGTAATGAAAAAGTTAATGTCATATTTAAAGCATTGATATTTATAAAGAACATAGGATAGGGCTTAGAACATGATCATTGCTCTGTGTATTTTTAAAATATATTTTTTCTTTTAAAAATATACAGTACATCTTTTCCATAAGAGCTGTTTACTGATAGAATAATAGGGAATGGCATCCACATATAAGGAAGAAAAGGCAAGGTTGGCTTCTGATTTAATCTTGACAAGAAAAATATTTAGTATTACCTTTATATTTTAAACTGTGGAAACTTCATCTCAGGAAGAGGAGCTTGAATTCAAATCATTTCTAGTCCCACAAGTGCAGAAGGGTAAGTTTCCTGGAAAAGAGATGAGGGCCTATCAAGTCACATCCAGACCTAGTAAATTCAGTCAGGATGTTGAGTGGGAATGAGCAGGAATCTGCATTGCTGACTAATTTGCTAGAGCTGGTAATCTCAAAAAAATTTCTTGAGAAACATTGTTTTAAGACTCAGCAGACTTTCTGTTGTGTGATGATTTCTAGTTAATAAGAGTTCTTAGAAACAAAAGTTAGCCCTATGTGTTATCTTCACCTTTGTGCAGTAAAATATGTATTGTGTCTTTGTAGTATTCATAACATGGTGATGGTTTTCAGCGCTCACACTTTATAACTGGGAATTAGTCCTTGTTAGAATCTGCGTTGCTGATGGCCCAAAGTGGCCTTTACTTGGTAGCGGTATTTTTCTGATTTTTTTTCTTCCTCTCTTCTGTCCTTCCTTCATTTATTGTTTTTTCTTTCCTTTTTTGCCATTTTCCTCAGTTTAAGTTACCTGACATGTCTTATTTTTTATTGTTATACTATGTGGAATACATATGTATTTTTAGTATAGTAAGTGAATTTTAGTGGTTAACAAATAGAACATTTTTTCATAAATTGGATCTATAAGCAGTGGGTCTTTTTTATGTGATAATTCAGTCTTTCTAAATTATTTTTTAGTCTCCTTAACAAGTATATTAGCTTGAAATAATTATTTGCAGTATTTAAACTTACTTAATATGCCTATTTGTCACTTAAATTATAACAATCTTAGGTCCTTCTGTGTATTTTCAACAGTGATTCTTTTCGTGCACATCGAGATAGTATGCGACAGATGATGAGAAGTTTTTCTGAACCTTTTGGAAGAGATATGCTCAGAATCTCTGATGGTAGACGAAGAGCTCGTAATCATACAAGACATGATGATGGTGAAGATTTTTTGACTGTAAGTTTTTTATTTTAATGACATTTGCTGAGAAAGTCCTATGGGAGTTTGAGCAAGATATTACAGAAGTGAATAGTGATGATGATAACATATGACTAATACTTGTATTATAGAAATATCTATTACTAGTAAACAAGACCTGTTGAAAAGCAGAATCCTGGAATAATGAATTGTTATCCATAAAATTCCACTGGCCTATTAATATTAAAACTTTTAGGACTATAGGATTGTGTATTATAACCAAAATTTAAAATAATATTTTTATATTTTTTCACCTTATAACTTTCTCTCATATCTTAAATTAGAGCACACAAAGAAATTTCTTTCCTGATCCCACATACTATTTTGTAAGTAGCAAGAAAAGGAAGGCTGAAGGGAGGGGAGAGGAAAGGAAAAAAAAATAAGAATTAAGATATATTACGTAGAGGTACAAATTCCCTGTGATAAATGTGATCATTATGTAGGGCACTATGTACTAATAAAAATATTTTTAAACAGTCTTGAAATCTAAAGTATAATGCTTTGTTGCACTAGGAAACACTGATCATCTGCATAGATACCTTGAACCTTCAAAACTTAATCTTCATTCATGGACCAGAAGCCTTGCACAACTGCAGCATACTCTTTTAAGTCTTATCTGAGAGCAAATCTGGAAGATTATAAGCATATTCAACTAAAAAAAGGATGTCTATATATCTTAAAATTTTTCATTTTTTTTTCTTAATCTTTTTTTTGTATGTTTCTGTTGCCTTTTCAGCCTCAGGAATGGCAGTTCTATAGTAACAAATCCACAGGAGTTCTATAAAGATGAGTATCTGCAGTTGAAATGTAGATACTGGAATTCAGTAAATGTTGAATCAACCAAGTAGAAACTTCAGAATCTTCTAGAAAGTATTTTCATATTTTCTTTTTGTAGTAAACATAACAAAAGTAAAATATCTTAGAACCTAAGATGTTTGATAAATGCAGTTTTCAACTTAAAATGAATCTTCGTATCTTTTTCATATATATTATTGACAAGCAGTATATTTACATTCAAATTAGCTTTTTAAAATTAGTGTAGTATCATCATATATACTTTCAGTACTAATCAGTTTTCTCAACAGTTTAAAGTTCATATCTGAGGAGTATTGTCAAATAGAGTAGAAAATGAATTGTGGGCAGTAAAATCTGAGACTGAAAATATTCTGGGTATCTGCTCTAACCATAGCAAGGAAACAGTAGGGTTATATATAGTTTTTATATTTATGCATATAAATGGACTACTTAGAGCTTTTACGGAACAAACAAAAAGTGACAGTTTTATTCCCTGCTTCTAAGTATAGAAATGAAACCTGTTTATAATTCAGCTGAAAATTTCTTACCAAAGGTACCTGAGTACATTAGGTATAATTATGCTGGTCATGCACTGGAAGCAGAAATAAATGTTTCTTTCCCAGATACTTCTACTTAAAGCACTAAATGTTCAATAAGAGGTAGAATAAGAGATATATAGCCAAATAGAGAAATCACTGTGAAACTTTGGTATGTAAAGTTCGTAATTTAGAACTCTGTATTTTCCATATGTCATACTTGCCTTGCCAAAATGTCTTTAAATCAAGAAGAAACCACAAAGAAGAAATTTATGATTGCATAAATGTGATTGTTGGTTAAGAAAAGTCAAATAGGAAAATGATTACAAAAGATGGCAAGACCAATATTTGAATGAAAATGATTGCTTCCTTGTTCACATACTTGGGCTGTAATAACAAAATACCTAAGATTGGGGAATTTATAAACAAGAGAAATCTGCCTCAGAGTTCTGCAGGCTGCAAATTGTAAGATCAAGGCACTCGCAGATTGTCTGTCTAGTGAGGGTTTGCTCTCTGATTCATAAGTGGCATCTTCTTGCTGTGTCCTCACATGGTAGAAGTGGCAAACACACTCCTTCAGGCCTCTTTGGTAAATGGTTTATCCCATTCATGAAGTTTTAACCTGGAACATGTCTCACGCTGACTCATCATAGGAAGTTGGGTTTTTTTGTTTGATGAACCATCATTCTTTAATAATTTGGAAAAGGTGACAAGGATATTAGCAAGTCATTGATGCTTAAGCCTCATTTTATAACCATGTCAACCAAGCAGGGGTTGAAAATTAACAGTAGAATATTGGTAAAGGGCTCCAAAAAGTAGAAGTCAGGCAAAATGAGGCAGCATTTGGTTTAATCCTTTTATCTTTAATACTAATTTTGATTTGTGTTGAGGGATTTACCTGAGTAGGACATGTGGAGTTAAGAGCATATGGGCTCTTCCTTATTTTGTTAATAAGAAATCCAAACCAGGCATGGTGGTGCATACCCATAATCCCAGCACTGAAGAGGGTGAGGGAGGAGAATTACGAGTTCAAGGCCATCCTGGGCTACATAGTGGGACCCTGTCTAAAATAAAAATAGAAATAAGAAGAAATCCAGTTTTCTCCTACTTAATTCTAACAGTGTCCAAAGAATACAATAAATAAAGATATCTATAATTCTGTGTAACCATTTATGAATTGGTCTTTGAGAAGTATTAAATTTTTATCCAATATGTCTACCACTCTTTTTTTTTTGGTACCAGAGATTGAACTCAGAACCTGCCACTTGCCAGGCAGGTGCTTAGGCACTTATGCCACTGAACTATATCCCCAGTCCCTGTCTATCAATATTTGAGAGTTTTATTAATGTCGATAAAATTTTTATCTTTAATTGGTTAAAGATTAATAGATCTTTAAAAAAATCCTTTCCCCTCCTTGAGCAAAAGAAAGATGATTTATTCTTAATTATTATACTTTATATTTTAATTAATTTTACTGTAAATTTGCATTTACTTTGAAAAATGTTGGTGTTACTCCTTAGCAAATACTGTTTCCTTTAAGTTTCCTACTAAAGTAGTCATATTTTCAAGTAGTATATGGTTTTCCTATTTGCTGTAAAATGAATAAAAGTAGATACAGTGATTTTAAAAATATACATTGAGGTCTTTTGATTAAATGGGTCTGTAATGTTAGTGGCTGTGAGACAAGTAATTATATAGTGTGTTTTTAAAATATTTTTGGGGGACTATTAGATCATAAATATAACCAAAATTAATTGGTTATCTTTCTAGGCAACGAACTTTTCTCTTGTGCCTTTTGGAAGCTTTGAGGGCATGGTTCGTATCATAAGACACAAATCATTTTAGCAATATTTTCTGACATTTATTGTTCATTAACTCAAGCAGACTGAAGTGGCATGCAGCTTATTAACTTTGGCTTTTTATTATTTGTATTAAAAACCTCTCTTTTATGTTTTAAACTTAGTGGTTAGGCTTGTTTTAAGTCATAAAATATTAAAAAAATCAATCGTTAAAAATAAAAAAAATAGATTCTGATAGATACACTTTGGGTTTGCAAAGATAATCCCCAGAGGTGTGTTTGAAAGTTGAGGACTTCCACATGCCTTTGACAGCTCTCAGAGAGGTGAGAAAGCACATTTGGAAAAGTTCCAATTAGCAGCTTTCTTTAGGGTTTTGTTGCCAGTGTGTTCATGCTGTGTTTTTTCATGGTTCATACACAAATTTAGCTGCTTTGCAGCACTGTTTCTTCCATCAGTGTTTCTCTGGGCTTTGGTTCTGTAGTTATGTTACAGATTTCCAGTCCACACAAAATAATCAAAAAAGAGTGGAGAATAGCATGGTTTTGGAACACTTTTGTCTACACTCTCATGAAAAGTTTCTTTTTTATCTTTCATGCTGGATTTGAACTCTTTGTCACTCTGAAGTTTGATTTATAATATTTGTCCTCCTGATTGGGTGGGTAGTTATCAGTAAAATGATCAGGAAATTCACTGTGCTATGGGAGCACACAGAACCTTTTGAGGTGTGGGATGGGAGGTGTAGTCTATCAGAAAAGACTTCACAAATCTTAAAAATTAGTAGGAGTTAGCTAGGAAAAGCCAGATGAAGAAAGAACAAGTGTATACAACGCAAGAAAATAGCATGTACAAACCACTCAGAGCCTAGGGAACTAAAAGATGTTTAGGATCACTTGACCCCAGTTAATATAGATGAAGGTGAAGAGGTAAACAGAGACTTCTTCAAGCCATAGTAAAGAGCATGTACATTATTTTAAGAGCAGGAGAAGCAGGTGATGGACTCTGCCATTAATGTGGTAATAAATTTATATCTCTTTTGTTAAAGATCATTATGTCTGAAGGAAGAGAAAGAAGGAACTACAATCGAAGCAAGGAGTTTAAGAGGCTGTTGGAAGCATTTTGTATAAAGTATTAGTAATAGCTTGTATTTGGTAATGGCCATGGTTATAGAGGGAAAATATATCTCATTTGAAAGATGAAGTGGTGAGTGATGAGAATTTGATAATTCATTAGGTTGAAGGAGCAATAGGAAGGAAAAAGGGAAATATGTAATGCCTGTATTTCTGCAGGAGAGATGAGATAGATGATAATGCTACTGAGATAAAGAACAGAGCAGTGAATCCATGGAGACACAAAAGTGCAGTTGTCAAAACAGTCATTTCAATTTGGTGTGTTCTACTTTTGAGGCATCTGTGGATTGTCTAGGTAAACAGCTGGGTATGTGGATGAGTCGAGTTAGAGATTTTTTTCTTTGCTGTGCATCTGTGTGACTGTTAAGGACTTTACTACTGAGCTACATCCCCAACCCAAAGTTAGAGATTAATTCTTTCACCAAACATTTACTAAGCCATTTTATGTGCTATGAATTATTTTTTAAGTAGAGGATATAGTTATATAAGACAGAAAAGGTAGCTGTGCCCTCAAACTTTTATACAGTAAGAAAACATAATAAAATAATTTCAGACAGAAATAAGTAGGAAGTGAAGCAAGGGGTAGACAAATGACAGGAGAGGCCTTTCAATAGGAGTGATAAGAAAGAGTAATGATGCTAAAAATCAGAAAACAGCATTCAAGGCAGAGAGGAACACGTAACAATATTTGTGAAGGCCTTACAGGCCCTCTAAAATCTCAGCTCCAAACCAAGGGATAAGTACAGAAAGTCTTTTTGATGGTAATATAACAGTGAACTGAGAATAGTGTTCCAGTACCTAATCATTCCTCTTCCTTTTCTTCTTTGTTGTACCAATCCTCCTTTTCTTACAAATTATATCTCTTGGGCAGGTCCTGATTCTTGATTTAGTATTTAAAAAACCCAGAATGTTTATGTAATTGTGATAAATCTCTGAAATTAGATGAATTCTACTTCAGTACTTTGCGTACTCTGAGATGTATCAGTGTCTTCTCAAATCTATGTGCCTTTGTTGTTCCCTAATGTATTAAATGAAGATTCTAAAGAGAAATTTGTTTTTCTCATTTTATTAGCAGAAAAACATAGTAAAAGGCAGAGCTAGGACTTTGGTAATTCTTTATCGAGGTCAAGCTTGATTCACCAGCTAAAGAATCTCTAAGGAGACCGAACTAGCAGCATGAAACCACAAGATTCAGAAGGCTCCTGCTGGAGGAAGCAGGAAAGGAGTTTTTCTAACACAAGATTCAGAAGGCTCCTGCTTGAGGAAGCAGAGGAGGAGTTTTTCTAACCAAGCAACCCTCATGGTTTTGTAATAGTAGATGATGCATCAAGAGATATACTAGCACGTAGCCTAACCTTTATTTTTTGGTGAGTGTTGCAGTGAAAAGAATCTAAAATCAATAGCAAATTTTTCTAGAGCAAGATGTTTCAACTTTAGCACTACTAACATTTTGGGCCAGATAATTTTTTTGTGCCTTGTGGGATATTTAGTAGCACTCAGGACTCCATTCATTAGATGGCAATCACACAACTCTCTCAGCTGTTAACCCCCACCCCAAAATAAATAGAGTTATTTACAAAGGTCCCCAGCCATCAAAATCAGTCTTGTTTGAGAAACCAGAGGAATTCTTAACTGTTCTTCTGAGAGGGCATACCTCATGGTTCAAGGGTGTAGCCTACTGATCCTTCAGTAGGCGCACATTGAAGGCTTATTGATACAGTGGATTGACCTCTTCCACTTGGACCCTAAATGATGAAACAAGGGCTGGCTACTTGAGAGGCAGCTTCTGTCAACCATGTGATGATGGTGGGAGGTACCCAAGTTTTACTTATTTGCATGATGGGATATTGAGAGGGAAGAAGGAAGAATTTAAAAGCTGTCTTCTACTAGCACTGTTTCAGTCTCAAGCTATGCCACTCAGTAGTTAATATCAACTAAATTGTTTTAAGAATGCTGAAAAAATGATATGTATGTTCATATTTACATGCATGTATAAATGTGATATAATTTATAGCTTTATAGTTTCCTAAATTCCCTAATCATTTACATTTGGCTGTTTGGGATGTTGCATATGTGTGGTTCAATTTTTTGTTTAACAAATCGTTCTTATTGGATAGATCTTCAGTTATTTCTGCCTAGTTGGTTGGTGCATGAGGTCCCACTAAATGAATTGGGAAAAATTTGTTTCAGCTGTTTTGGGAAGATTAATCTACTCTTTTGTGTTGTATTTGTAGCTAATACCATTACTTCCTAATATTCTGTAGCATACAGATGTCAGCCCTTTTCAGGCAATGGACCGGATGATGTTAAATATGCGAAACAGTATGCAGGAATTACAAAGAAACTTTGTAAGTACTAAAAATAAGGTGATAAGAATATTGTTTCCATTATTGGTGCCCTATGTTATAGTGACTTTTTAAAAAAACTATAATCTATAATGATTAAAAGGTAAATCTTACATGATTAACCCCTATATAGCAATTGTACACTTCATACATGAAACAAACGTTTCATGAAAAAATGAAATACTACAGTGTGTGCTGATAGTTTGTTTTAATCTATGTTTTAAACTTCTGGTCATATCCCAATAAATTTATTTCACAATTTACAATTTTGAAAAATAACATTGAGTAATATTCACAGTTTTAAAAATCCAGCCTTAAAAATATACATTCTGTTGAGTTGCTCTTGTAAATGAACATTTTATATGAGTTTTTATTATTTATAACCTATCTACTTAAAAAGATTTGTGACATATAAGACATTACAATTTACAGAAACTCTGAAAACAGAATAAGGAGTTCTGTTTAGGTACTAGATTAGATTCATAGACTCCAAATATAGTACTTATAAGCTAGTAGTAATACTCATACTTTTCTATTCATAATATTAAAGTAAAAAACAACATTATTCAATCTGAAATTTTAAATTATTGTATTCATCCAGTTTGGATTTTTCAAATGATTTCAAATGAGACTTCTTAAAGCATACTGATCAACTCAAGGTTGATGGTATTGTATACAAGAGTCAACAACAGATTATGGAAATAATCACAGGTTTTAAAGGCACAGCATCTTTATTTAAAATCTAAGGCGCAAAGACCCAATGATTTAAGGATATCTGAGCAGATCAGTTGTTATATTTTAAAAAGAGTGAGAATTTGTATCAAAACTGGAGGCTAAGGGGGTGACAGTTGGATAAAGGATATTGGGAGTGTGCTATTCTTATTAGATGATTTTGTTACTTATTTGAACCCTTGGACATTAATTCTTCATTTTGACCTGACTCTGAGTTTGGTTTCTTTTTGCCTGTAGGATCATCTTTCAGTGGCTCCACATGGACATTCATTTTGTTCTTCCTCAGTTATGACTTATTCCAAAGTAGGAGATGAACCACCAAAAGTTTTCCAGGCCTCAGCTCAAACCCGTAGGGCTCCAGGAGGAGTATGTATTTTATAAGCATTCTTAGAGCTTTATGAAAGTGTGGGGTGATAGGTTGCCTAATTACTACATTTGAATTACTACATTTGAAGAGTGGCAGAATGGGAACAGAGGCTTGATGATAAGGAAAAACCACTGATGTTCAACTGTATTTAGTGGTGGGCATTTTGTTCATCCTTTCTGCCCTCACCTGCGTAAGGATGACTTCTTTTATGTAATTACCTATTGATTTTTTTCATTCACATATTGAAAAGATATGTTTCATGAAGTAAATGTTTACCTATAGTTAACTAAATGTAACGTTTCAAGTGTACAAAAAGTACATATAATGAATATCCATATTTCTGTCACCCAGTTTAGTCAAATCATAATTTTTCTCTTTTTGATTCATTTTGTCTCTTGTTTTTCTTTGTAAGTAAAAATGTTACAGATACAATTAAAATTTCCAACATGCTTCTCCCAGGTCTCTTTTCTGTTTCTCATTTTCCTATATTTAAAGCTTATCATTATTGTGCATATTTTAATAATTTTATTATTTATGTACACATCATGAAACATAATGATTATTTTTTCAGGAACCTAGACTTTATATGAACGGTATTATTATTGCATGTGTTCTTGCAGCTTGCCATTGTTCAGTAATATGCTTCTGAGATTTACTCAAGTTAATACATGTAGTCCTGGTTCTATGTTTTAACTTCTATATACCACCCAAAATATAAATAGGGCACACATTTTTTTATCCATTTTTTTGTTGATGTATATTAAGTGTATATAAGTTTGCACTAATTCATCCTTATACAGATCTTATAAAATACCTAGGAATGGTATTGCTGAGTTGTAGGGTGTGTGCACATTCATCTTTATTTAGAAATTATCAAGTTACCAAGTGATTAAAACTACTGGCTTCTGCAAGCTGTGGTATAAGTATTCCCATTCCTCCATTTCATTATTAGAACTCATAGTAAAATTTTAAGTCTTTAAGAACTAAGGGACGTGAAGAAATTAAGGTTCTAGTTCCTATATACAATTTTTTAGTTCTCTCGTATCTTTAATGATAGCCTTGCCATAGTTCTGCAGATTCATCATAGACATTTTAATCTTGACTTGCTAAAAGTACAGAGTCTTAAATGTAAAGATGTCTCATAGACAATCATGTTACTCTTTGGTTATCCTAAATATTGCAATAACATTTCCATATAGTTGATGAGGGGAACAGTAGGATTCATGCCCATCAATGTAATTGATGAATAGTTGTAATTACTTGGAAGATAGCATGCACTTGTAACTGTTGCATTGTCAAAGATAGTGTTAAAGGCACTGAGTTTTACATAATTAAGTCCTTTATTTAATATTGTAATTTGGAAAAATAAATTCATTATGTTTGTCCTGGAATTTTCATTTTAAATATTTTAGCAAATATCAGAGAACTGGTACCACAATTTTACTATAAGTTGATAATAGAATTGAATATAGTTACTCTTTTTTTTAATATGATGCTAGAAGTAGAACATAAGAGTGTTCATAATGAGCTACATCCTCGGCCCTTTTTCATCTTGAGATAGAATTTACCTAGATTCAAAGCTGGCCAGGTGGGACTCTAACTTATGATCCTTGTGTCTAAGCCTCCCTACAGGTCTCCCTACAGGTCTATGCCACAGTACCCAGCTAGTTACTCATTATTTTTAAAGGTGTAGATCTATGGTCTTTCTTTAATAGTGACAGGACTCTGAGGAATTTAGAATTAAGTTGATTTTTATATATTTAAATAATTTTTATTTTATTTTTACAGATAAAAGAAACCAGGAGAGCAATGAGAGATTCTGACAGTGGACTAGAAAAAATGGCTGTTGGTCATCATATCCATGATCGAGCTCATGTTATCAAAAAGTCAAAGAACAACAAGACTGGAGATGAAGAGGTCAATCAAGAGTTCATTAATATGAGTGAAAGTAAGTCATTACAAAAGTATTATTCCTTCCCATAAAGTTAAACTATCAGCTGCATTTTCAGAACTTGATTAATTTTCTTGAAGGAGCATTTCATAAGATGCAGGTTATGAAGAATATATGTGAGGAATGTTGTGTCAAAGTAATAAAATCGTGGTTTAATCATTTAATGATGATGTTTTTGCATGTTTCTTTGGCAATATTTATTTTGTTTTATCTTTGGAAAATGGAATTTTTGAATTGTTATTTAGTAATACTACCTACAGATAAAATGAGTTTTTAAATAATTTTTATCAAGGAATTACATTTCAAAAGTATGAGGAAAATAAAAATCTATAACCCCAACTCCAAATAAATATTATTAATGATTCTGTGTGTTTATTACTAGTTTTATGTATGTGTAAACAAACTTTTTTCAAATTAGTGTTTATAGAGTTTATATTGTGCTATTTTAATTCACCATTCTAATTATAAAAATCATGTTATTTTTTAAAAAATAGTATGAGTGATAAACCTAAATGTTTTATCATAAATAGTTCATAATTTACTTAAACCATTTAGTATTTTAAAAACTTGGGTTTTGTATAGCTTCTAATTCTTGGTATATGCAAGATAATACATATCTTATCAAATTCATTTTCTAGAGTTATGTTCATTCTTCAATGCTTTTACGGCCTTCTAATGCCCTAATTATTCTCATTATAGTTTTAAGTATACTGAAATATATTAACAATTTAAATAAAATTTTATTAATTAATCTTATTTTAATGATGTTATTTGTATTGTAATTTGAATGTGAAATTATATTGAAATTTAGTCATATTCATCTACTTTCAGTCCATTTTGAGTAATGTTTTATCATTATAAGAGGTTTAAATTATTTTAGAAAAAAATTCTATTAAAATGGGTTTGATAAAATTATTCTACAATAAGATGGAAACCAGAATATCTTGACCTTCTTTAATTAGAATCTTTGTAATTTTGTCATCTATATCTATATTGACTACTTCACTTTAGCTCCCCTTAGAATAGCTTGGGAAAAGAAATGTCTTGAAACCATATATTAAACTTAACATGTTGGAGTTGTTTTCAGTTTGGGAACACATTATTATAAAGATAGTGTGAAAGAACAGAAGCTATCATCTGTGTATCATAGCGATTGTGGAAATTAGATTACCTACTTCCATGACACCATAAAACAGCAGTCAAGGTGATAACCTGTCTTTGGAAATTGACAACAGAACTCATGAGATTGAGTCAGACAGGAGGATGGTGAGGTGAATAGGAATGCCAGCCACAGAGGGAGGTCTCAGTACAGGAACACTACTGTGAGGTGATTCAGAGAGACAGACCATGACTGAGTGTAATGTGGTCAGCCAGTCCATTGGTTGACCAGACAGGTCATCAACAGGAATGGAGCAACAAAAAACAGGAAAAGAAATATTATCCTAACCAAAGACCTTTGTACTTGAAACAGCTTCCTGCCTCTGTCTTGCAGGTAAGGTAATGAAAACACCAGGCCAGCATGACGTATTGGGGAAGTCAGGCACTTACTGATAGTTGATACCTAAGTATATATTCCCTTTATTTTTATATTTAATGTAGGCGATGCTCATGCGTTTGACGATGAGTGGCAAAATGAGATTCTGAAGTATAAACCAGGGAGACAGTGGCACAATCTAGAAAACACTAGAGTGCAAAGTGTCGGTCATGAGAATTCAAGACTCAGAGAATTTAAAAGAAGGTAACAGTTATTTCTAAACAGTATTTTTAAAGACTTAGAAGAAATGTTATGTTATGTAATATCTGTGTGTATAATGTTTCACATATGTTAGATATTTGGGGAAAATTTTGCAAATGCTTTAGCTTCCTTAGAATAGCTGGGGAAAATAAGTGTCTTGAAACCATACATTAAATAAGGGACCTTTAATAGTATTCTAGAATTACTATTCTAGAATTTCAATGGAAAACATTGAAATTACTCTCCAGAGAGAGACATACAGGCTTAGCAAAGCCTTAAAATCTGTTCTAGGCTGTAAGAGACTGGAGGGTTGCAACAGAAGGTAGACACCTTTATGGAAGCATGGAAGTGGGTACAAATAAATCCAGAAGTGTGTGCCTTCATCTGTTGGTTTTTTAGTCCTGAGGATAACCGTTTTTACTGAGATAACATGGAATCTCAGTGTTATTTTGATTTGTATTTCCCTGATGGCTAAAGATGTTGAACATTTTTTATGTATCTATTAGCTGTAGATACCTCTTTTGAGAAGTATTTACTCATTTAAATTGCCTATTTTTGAGTATTCTATTTGGGGGCACCTAATTTTTTATGTTATATCATGTATTCTAGCTATGAGTCCTCTGTCTGAAAAGTAACTGGCAAAAATTTGTTTCCATTCTGTAGATTGTCTGTTGTTTCCTTTGCTGTGAAGAAACTTTTGTGTTTGATATAATTCCATTTGTTAATTCTTGAAATCATTCCTTGTGCAACTGGAATTTTGTTCAGGAAGTTCTTGCTTGTGCTTATGAGTATAGCACACCTGAGACCCAGTCACCTCTCCCAAGCCCCACCTGTGAACACAGGAGGCTTTTGGAGCACAGTCAGGAGCTAAAACCTGATATCTAGTTTGAGTATTGGTAATACTAGCTTCGAGGAATGAGTTTGGCAGTGTTGCTTTTCTTTCCATTTCATGCAAGAGTTTGAGAAGTATTGGTATTATTTCTTCTCTGAAGATCTGGAAAATTTGGTTCCTGGGTTTTTCCTAGTTGCTAGTGTTTTATTATGGCTTTATTACCATTTTATTGGGTATTATCAGTCTATTCAGAGCTTTTTTAAATCTTGGTTCAGTTTTGTTATCATATGTCTATGGGGATTTATCCATTTCTTCTAGATCCTTCAATTCATTGGACTGTAAGTTTTCAAAATAGTTTTTTATAGCCCTATTTCAGCAATGTCCATTGTGATTTTGTGTTTTTTACTTGTAATTGCATTGACATGGATCTTTTCCTCTTTTGCTAAGTCTGGCTAAAGGTTTATTGATGTTACTTATACTTTGAAAGAACCTATTTTATGATTCATTGATGCTTGTATTATTTAGTCTCAACGTTATTGATATATCTTCTCTGATCTTTATAATTAATTCCTTCTACAGGTTTTAGGTTTGGATGGCTTTTGTTTGCTGGGGCCTTGAGATGCATGAATCATTAATGTAGGCCCTCAGAGCTAAACTTCCCCCTTAGAACTCCTTTATTGTGTTGTACTTCAGATGTCACTTGATTCTAGGAATTCTTCAGTCTCTTCCCTGATTTCTTCTGTAACCCATTGACTAGTCAGGAAAGTATCACTTAATTTTCATGTATTTGTGTAATTTTGTAGTTTCTTTTATTATGGATTTCTAGTTTCATTCCATTGTGATCTGATGGAAGAGGTTATTTCAGTTCTTTTTATATTAAATATACTTTATAACCTAAGAAATGTTCTATTTTGGGTAAAGTTCCATGAGCTGCTAAGAATAATTATGTATTTTGTTGTTTTTAGATAAAGTACTCTGTAGATATCTGTTAGGTCCTTTTGTTCAATAGCATGGCTCAACTCTGATATTTCTTCGTTGAATTTTGTTTGCCTGGTTGACCTATTTGTGAGAGCTATTAAAGTCATCCCACGCTATAGTTTTATTGGTATCTGTCTGTCCTTTTAAGTAAAGAAATTTTTGTTTTACGCAATTAGGTATGCTGAAATTTAATGCATATATTATCTCTTCCTGTTGAATTATACTGATTGCCAACATGTAGTGACCTTCTCTGTCTCTTCTCATCAGTTTTGGCTTGAAGTCCTCTTTGTTTGATACGAGGAGAGTTATTCTTGCTTGCTCTTGGGCTCTAGTTTGCATGGAGTATGATTTTACATCTTTTCATTTCAAGCCTGTGTCTATGGTGAAGTATGTTTCTTACAGCAACGTGTGGTTAGGTTTTATCTTTTGATGAGTCTGAACGTTGTTGATATATCTTCTCTGTGTCTTTTGATCAGAGGAATTAATATCATTTACATTGAGCATTATTATAGAAAAGTTTTTACTGGTTCTTGTCATTGTTATTTTTCAATACTGATTTATTTTTTCCTTTTGTTTACTATTTTAGATCTATTTTTTCCTTTGGGCTCTTAAGTGATATACTCGTTTCTGTTTAGAATTCCTTTGAGTATTTACTCAATACTGGTTTACTGGCCATAAATTTCTTACTTTATAAATCCATCTTTGCAGTACATAATGATCACATTCCTCATGGGAAGTTGGTTCATGTACATAACACTTCTGAATTTTTTTTCAGCTCTGCCTCTTCCCTTTTTTCCTTCCTCCATCTCTTGGTTCCCTTCGGTTTTATAAAAAGTCTTACCTTCCTATTTTCTATTATCTATCTTTTATATTGCTTTTTATTTATATCTTGGGTTTCTCACATAAGAGAAACTATTCAATATTTAAAGTTGTGTGTCTGATTTATTTTACTAAACATTGTGGTCTCAAGATCCATCCTTTAAAAAAAAAACAACTCTCATTTATTCTTTATGGCAGAGTTGTACTCCATTGTTCATAAATAATCACTTTTTTTTTTTTTTTTTGTATCAGGGATTGAACCCATGACTGCACTTGTAAGGCAGGCGCTTATGTCACTGAAATCCCTGGTCCCAGTATCACATTTCTTTATCCATCCATCTGTTGATAGACATAGGCCCTACTTCCAAGATCTAGCAATTATGAATTGTGATGCTATAAATAAACATGGGTGTGCATGTATCACTGTAATATGATGTCTTTAACTCTTTTAGAAAGATACTCAGATTAGATAATGCTGGGTTAAATGAAATTTCTCTTTGTAAATTTTTTGAGAAATCTCTTAGGCTAAGCATGGTGGTACATGCCTGTAATCCTAGCACTTGGGAGGCTGATGCAGGAGGATTGCTGTGAGTTTGAGACCAACTTCAACTACATAGTGAGGTCAAGGCCATCCTGAGCTATAGCAAGACCCTGTTTAAAAAAAAAAAGATTAAAAAAAAAAGACATCTCCACACTGATTTCCACAGTGGTTGTACTAGTTTACATGCATCCCAACAATGCAAAGGGTTCCTTTTTACCCATAAGATTGCAAAATTTTGTTGTGAGTTCTTAATAATAGCCATTGTTATTGGAGTAAAGTGAAATCTTATGATTTTTTTGGTTTGTATTTCTCTAATAGTCCTAAATGCTGAGCATTTTTCATGTATTTATTGACTATTTGTATTTTTTCCTTCTGAAAACTATTCATTTGAATTGCCCAATTTTGACTGGATCTTTTATTTTAGGGATTCTAATTTTTTTGAATTTTTCATACATTCTAGTTGTTAGTCTTCTGTCCAAGGAATAGCTGGCAAAACTTTTTTCCCATTCTGTAGGTTGTCACTTCATAGTGTTGTTTTCTTTGTTACACAGCTTTTTACTTTGATATGATTCATTTTTTTTTTGTGCTAAAGTTTTCAGATTGATTATAGTAAAAAAAAGTTTGTTGCTATAATGGAGTCCTTTTCAGTCTGCTTTTCAGTGATGTACTCTGGGAGTAGCTAATTATAAGCCTTTGCCTGTGTCCCAAGAGGTAACTGCCTCTGCTACGGTGCAGTGAGCCCAGTACCCAGGTCTCTGGGAATGGGCCACACTATTGTTAATGACAGAAAGTCAATCCAGATATTGGCATATAGAGAAACCAGTTAATAGCAACAGTTACGCCATTCCAGGAATAGCAATCAAATCAACAACGATAGTAGCTTAAAAAAACTCCTGGATATTGACATACTTTAAAAATCAATAATGTACCACTTTTAGCCATAGAAAGAGATCTATAATTATGGGATGGGCACTAAGATAAACCACATATTTACATATAGTAAATATCTAATAAATGCAACAACTGTGCCTTCACTAACAATAGAGAAGTAGCCAACATTAATGCAATAGACTTAACTATCTACAATTAATAAACCTTAATGGCTATACTAGTAAAGACCAAAGGGGCAGGGAATGGGAGACTAAAAGAGTAAGATTTGAAAATAATCAATGGAAGATGAAAAGGAAGAGAGAAAACTCTGAAGTGAAGGATCCTATTAAAGAGTAAAAAGAAATTAGTAGAATTAGATAAGAGTAGCAGAAAAGAGCAAACAAAAATGTAAAAAGATCACAATAAATAAAAAGGAAAAAATTAAAAAGAGAGAGAAAAAAAGGAAGAAAAAATCTGAATGCCAAAGCATCAATGAAGAGAAAAAAAATCAGTCCAAACATTTTTTTCTCTGTATTTTTGATTGCAAGGCTTCTTTCCAGGATCTTCAGTCTTGGAATCCAGCAAGTCACATTTTTTTCTCCACTTAGTGTTAGGGTCCGTGGATTTGTGAGGTATCCTCCCTGCTCCAGAGGCCCCTCTGTCCACACTCCCAATGCAGAGGCCCCTGTCCAAGGTGAGGTGTGTCCTTGCTCACATTGGGATACAGGAAGATCAGTCAGAGCACTTGTTTCTGCTGGATGTAAGTAGCAGAGTAGGGGTTCAAGCAGACATTTGGACACTTACCAGAGGCTGGCTTCTCATCACGGAGGATGGGGTACCATGTCCTTTCCAGCCTGAGCTTGAACTCTCATGGATCTATTTCTAGCCCATACCCTTTCTATGACTGTCTTCTGTGGCTGTCTCTAACCCAGTCACTGTGGTACAGTAATGCTGGAAACCCTGAAGTAGTTCTGTGATTTAGTCTTAATTAACATTTTCCCAGAATGGTTCCTGATTAAACCCTCAGCAGTATTGTAGGCACTGCACTGTCTTCTCCAACTCTAACCTTCCACTAAAGGGTCACTTTTGGAGTAAAACCAAACTCCTTGCTGTTTCTGTAGTTAAGGTGGAGGCTTTTCTTAGACTAGCGCTGCTGCTAGCCTGTACCCGCTGACCCTCCAGCTAACCTTCTCTTCCTGGGCATTGGCCTCATCTTCAGTCAGGCCAAATCCATTCATTGGTGCTTCGCTGCCCTGTGCCTAGAGGAAACAAAGTGCAGAGCGGCTTTGAGTTGCTGCGTGGCGGCAGCCAGGATGTGGAATCTATAGGTACAGAGTTTGCTTGGGAGGGAACATGGCTTTCAGTCTAGGTGATGGGGGATGGCTTTTGTCAATGGTCTGAGTTTCTCTATATTCTTTTTGTTATGGAAAGCTTTCATTTCTCCATTAGTCTTTAGGGATTGTTTTGCAGCATACACAAATCTGAACTGCCAGTCTTTTTTTAAGGGCTTGAAAACTTCAAGCTCTCTTTGCCTTTAAGGTTTTTGTTGAGGAATCTGCTGTTATTCTGATAGGCTTGCCTTTATAAGTTAATTGACATATTTTTTCTAATGGCTTTTAGTATTTCTTGTTCTAGATTTCTGGGATTTTGAATATGTTGTCATGTGGAGAGCTTCTATGCTTACCATATATCTATTTGGCGTTCTAAACACTTGCCTTGGGTATATCATTTCAGTTTCCAGATTTGAAAAGTTTTCTGCAATGATTTTGGCTTAAACGGTTTTTTAAAAAATACCTTTAGTTTCCTTCTGTAGCCCTTTCTGTATTCCTGAAGTACTTAAGTTTGTTATTTTAGAGTCATCTGTGAGCTCTTGAACCAGCCTTTCATAACTTCTTGTTTTTGCAGGGTCGCTGAGTAAGTGATCTACTACATCAGACCTAGTAGTCTCCTTCTGATTGCTTATGTCTGATTGGTTATGTCTACTGACCTAGTATTCTGTTGTGTTTTTTACTATCCAGAACTTCTTTCTGCTGCTTTTCATAACCTCTAGTTCTTTTTTACAGTGGTCATTTATATTCTGCCTTGTGTGTGACAGTGGGCAGTGAAAGAACACATAGGGAGATTGATTCCAATTAATGATATAACAAACTATTTTTAGAATCCTATAAAATGACCTTTAATGAGGGAAAACTCAGTATGAGATGTTAAGATACTATGGTGTCTACTTTAATCTTAATCATTTCTGTATAAAGAAGGAATAGATATAGAGGGAGAGGGAAAACTAAAAATAAAGAAGAGAAAAAAAATCAGTAATGGAGAAGGAGCCAAGAAATACGGGAAAAATAATGAAGGTAAGGAAAGCATGAGATTGTAAATGGGAGGCGAAAGGAAAGCAGATTGTCTCCAACTGTGGAATTAACAGTCAAAAAGGTTAGATGATACCCAGGAGCAACAACAGAAAGTTCATATATAGCCCCACACATGCATGCACACACGCAAGTGTGCACTCACACACCTGCCACTCAAAACTCAAACAATAAAAGGAAAGAAGAAACACACAAAGCAAAACACAAAGGTCACCAGGTTCTCAGGACGTCTGGTGTTCTCAGAACGTTGGAGTGTTGCTGACCGTGCTTCACCACACTTAACAGTAGCAACTTAGCTCCTGGTGGAGATTCTGCCACAGGCACCGCTATTTACTCCTGGCCAGTTCAACTCTCCCATCCCCTCCCATGACAGTTAGTTGTGTTCCAGTTTTCATGCAGCTTTTCTCTGGCTGGCAGATTCTGTGGTTGCCTGTGCTCAGGCAGGAAGCAGTAGCCCAGACCTTGCTTTGCTTGTTTATTACCAGGGCAAAGCAGTGCTCCTTGCTGGGTTCCAGTCTAACCTGGATTTCAGTGGTGTTTGGGGCAGGCAAGAAACCATCTCCTCTGGTGCTGATTTGCATTGTCACCTCCCCAGTGATTGTGCTTCCCAGGTGTTCAGCCTCATGGAGTCTTTTTAAAACCTGGGAATTCAGCATGAGCCTTTCTGCACAGAATTAATATCATTTGGGGATCGCAGGTGGGGAGCTCACCCAGGTGCAGAGCTTGGTGGCGTCTGGGGACAGTGGGAGAGTGCCTGCTTCTGCACTGTTCCAGTCTCCACCTCCTCGGATTTCACAGTCACGACAAACCCTTACAGTTCTGTCTCACAGATCTCTTAAGGGTTCCAGATTCTCAACCAGGACTTTGTCCTTAGTTCCTCTCCTCCCTTGGGCTCCTTCATGTTCCCTGGTCCTAACTCAGTCACTGCCTGCTGAGTGCTTCTTTGGCTTGCACGCACTTTTTTTAGTGCCTTGGTCTGAGGAGGCCACCTGCCAGTCGGAGGATTGGTTAAGACAGGGACACTGGACTCTGGCTGCTGGGCTTGCAGCCACTACCGCACTTGGCTTCTTGGTGGGGGCAGGAACTTTCCATGACAGTTTGTCCCTTGGACACGGGCTGTAAGCAGTGCAGGGATGGAGAAGCAGTCTTGGCTACTTACTCTAAACAGCCTTGTTACTGGTTTTCGTCTAATGTGCTTCTACGCACTTTGATTAGAATCTTCTGAGCATCTGACAAGTGCTGCTGCTTCTTGCCTCACTGTGATCCTTGTCTTCATTATGATTAATTTATTATAAGTGTAGCTAATGGCTATCATACTGCACAGCAGATTTGCAAACAAATTTATGTAGGAGCTGTTGTTTCCTTAAATATTCAGTGAAACAGTCTGTGTTGTAGTTTTCAAAGCTTATTAAGGTACTGTACTTTTAAAATAAAACTCTCCTTAAGTTATAGTTGTTAGCATGTTTGGTTTGTAGTGACTTTTAAACCATTGACCTCTTAAAAAATAATACTGGTCTGGTGGTACATGCCTCTAAATCTGGGCACCCAGCCTAGGCAATTCAGCAACCCAGAGAGGACATGTTTCAGAATCAAAGAGTCATTTTTTTTAAAGAGCTGGAGATGTAGCTCAGTGCAAAGGCACTGAGTTCAATCTCTAGTCTCTCCTCACCTTACATACAAAGGATACTAATGATCTTATATGTATTTCTCAGGGAGAAACGTCTTCAAAGTCCAGCCATAGAAAGCAAAAGAAGACCAGACATTTTTGTGGACAAACTCAACATCAAAGGATCACCTGTGAAAATCAACAAAAAATAAATAACCATGCATTTGATTTGTTAAGTTTGGGTTATTTTAACAGAGAAAGTAATGGTGCTGAGTATTATATACGTAAGACCAATCTGTTGTTAAATCACTATTATACTTTGCAACTTTCTTCTGTTATCTGAATGTTGTTGGAAGTTCTAGCTTTGTATTATTCCAACTGTAGGAATAAAATTTTGATTTTCAATGTGATTAAATTGTTACACATTCTTAAAACTCTTTAACACATACTAATTCCCAAAGCCCATATCTTAATTTTGCTTCCAAATTGCTTTTGCCCTGGTACTGATAAAAAAAACCAAATTACTTTTGTATTGGCTGTATTCTTGTCTATTTGTCAAGGTTAATTATAGAGCTGGTTCAGTCATAGTTCTGAGAAAGTAAAGTCTTAAAAATGGATCTAGTTTCCACCATCACCATACTAGAATGACATGAGCCATGAGTATGGTGTACACCTACCATCCTAACCCTCCAGAAGGTGAGGCAGAAGAATGCAAATTCAAGGTCAGCTTGGGCTACATACAGAGACCGTTTCAGAAAAAGAAAACTGGACAAACATTTAAAAATCATTATACTAAAGCAATGTTCATAAAGGTTTAAATAACTTATCTCAGATTTTATACTGTTAAACAGCCAACTAGCTTACAGCTTTAAAAATAATCAAAACTTATTCTAGTACTGTTATATAAGAAATTGTTATTTTGATAAAGTCAAGAATAATTAGTTCATTTTTACAATAAAAGTTAAAATTGATAATGTATACAAATTTTTCTATTATAATTCCATATACATTTTTTGTTTTATATTACATTCTTAATATTTTAAATAATTTGTGTCCCCTTTTTCTTTAATTTCTTAAAGTGGCATATTTCTGTTCTTTCCCACAAACAAGTTTAATCTACTTCAAAGTTAACATTTTAAAGTTGGAGAGACCTTAGAAGAACTCTGCTTCACCCTTTTGTGACACTTAGAAAAATGCATTTGTTAACGTGAAGACTAGAATGATCGAGGATGTCAAAATAGTGTTTTTGAGCAAAACGTTTAATAATTCAGTTGTTCCTCTTTTAATTGTACCGTTTAAAAAATTCAACCTAGGTTTTTTACTCAAGAATTCACACATTAATCTACTTTTATAAAGGTTATGGAAGAAATACTATATAAGAATAAAAAATCTAACCTCATATCTGTTGCTTCAGACAAAAAAGTCCACTATCGTGATGTAATTCAAAGTACTTTTCTTCGTAAATTAGAAGTAAAATTATGTGATTGTCCTCATACCTCCTCTAGTTCCCTATATTCTCTTTCTCTCTCCTTTTAGTTTTCTGTTTTCTATGCCAGATAATTTTCCTATTCTGTTTTGTGCCTTTAGTCACTAAAATAAGATGCAAATGTATTAATTCATGTTGTAAGTGAAATTAATTGAGTATGTATTAGTTAAAATAGATTTATTATGCAGTTTTGTATGCTAGTAACATAATAGGAAGTTATTATATGGTGTAAGTTTTAAATAACACTTATATAAATTTATTGGATAGAGCAAAGTCTCAATAGATACTAGTCTCCTTTTGTCTAAATAACACCAATAATTTAAATAATTATTTTCAAATCTATAGTTATACTTTAGTAAATTATTATATTTAGTGTAACTTTTATATCATAGAACATTTACAGAATTGTAACATACTTTTTTCTCACAATTTGTTTACTGTGGAAATCAAATTGAAGTAAATTTAATTATATTGAAAATTGAAATGTACCTATATTTCTTCTTATGCGGTGGTGCTTCTTAGTAGAAATTTACAAAATATGTTATACATAAAGATTAAATATCAGATAGCAGCCAGGCATGACAACACGTTTAAATCCAAGTACTTGGGAGGCTGAGGGAGGAGGCTCACTAGGGGTTCAAGGCCATCCTGCACTACATAATGAGTTGAAGGCCAGCCTGAACTACTTAGTGAGACCCTATCTCAAACAACGAAAGCAAAAATGAAAACAACAAAAAATCAGATAGTACCCCATATGTAGTCTCGTCTACATATATAATTTTTTCAGGGTTCTACTTGGACCTTGCAAATGACAAAACTATGGAAAATTGTTCATACAGAGAGATGAACATAAATTTTGATAATGTAATACATTCATACATGTTTTTAAATAAGACTTAAGGCTTGCTAGTAATAATCACATTATGCCACAGGTACATAATTATTTTATAGAAATCATATTTTGACCATTAACATTTGAAACTAATATAAACTGATCTTCCTTCTTTCTCATTTAGTATTCACTTTTGTCTAGTGTGCATTGTTTGTTAAATATAATGTTTTATAATAGCCATAAAACTTCAGTAAAATTTTGTTATCTTCTATTTAGAATTTACTAAAAGTATGTGCACTGAATCCCAGCTTAAATTGCTGAAAATTGACATGCACATTTGGTTTAAAAAGCCATCACCTCAGATTTTTCCCTAAAAGTGCTCAGTTTTATCCCCGAAACTGGTGTTAGCAGCAGGCATTTTCTTTGATTTGTGATAAATGATGAATTTCCCTTAAATTGCATGAATGGAAATACTTGCAATGCAAAGAGGTAATGACCCTTCTCTTGTTCAATTGTATCTCTGTGTAGTAGAATAAAAAGAGACTCTTTGTTCCTGCAGTGATAGATATAGAATTGTATTCATTTTTATTTATCCTTGAATCTTCAAAATCATATCTTCTTTATCACTGGACTGAAGCATAAGTAAGAGAATGTAAACACAAAATACTACCTCTTTTACACATGCTCTTATATTACTCTTTGGAATTTGAAAATTCTAAAATGTACAAAATACCTCACCAGTGTGCCTCAAAATTTACCTGCCATACAGACATAGTACTCCCTCTTCTTCCTGTTAAATATGACTTGTTTGTGCATGTCATATATTTTGTAAATTTCCACTGAGAAAGCATCATGGCATAAGAAATGTCTTCTATTAAAATTTGCTATATTTAATAGGATTGTGTTGATCATTCTTTGACTTGCTGATGTTATTGAGAGCAAAGTTAACAATATAAAGTGTAGATTTTTAAAAATTCCTTGATATATACTCCAGACTGCTTTACAGAAAGATTGCACCAATTTATAATCATCCCACCGAATTGTTACAAGAGTATCTATTTTTTCAAATCCTTTGTCCAAATTGGAAAGTAGATAATGATTTTTCATCTTCTATTGTTACAGATTTTATATAGGTAAAATAGTATCTCTTTGTCTTAATTTTGTATGTGTCTTTGATAGTGAAATAATAACCTTGTTCTTGTGTTTACTGCTCATTTGCCTTGTTTTTCAAATTTTGTCTTATTTTTAATTTTAAAGAGAATAAAACAAAAGAGAACAGAACAAAGCAAATCAGAACAGAACAATGCAAGCAACACAGCACTTCACAACAAGACAATAGGACATCAACAGTAGCTACCATAATGTCTCTTTTCTTCAAAATACTTAAGCAAACCTGCACATACAATAATATCAAACAAAAATACTAGTATGAAAGCATTACAGGATTTCAAAACCAAATGACAGGAAATGAACAATGGCTACTTACAATACCTCATTTTCTTCAAAAAACTTGTCTATACCATCACACATAATAAAATCAAAACACAACAGGATAGAGGCTCTAATTTTGTTTTATTATTTGTAGTACTGTGGAATGAGCTCAGTATTGCTGTATTTCTGTGCAGGTCTTCCAGGAGTAGCCTCTAAAATACACCATTTCTTGACATTTCATTCTTTCTAAATGGACAAGGGCATGAAACTACATATATTCCTTATATCCTTTCAAATAAACCAGACATTCCTAAAGTTACTGAGATACTCTTTTCTTTTGAGTGGCTATGTTAGGAGGTATTATAGGCAGATAACTTAGATAAAATTTAATAGTCAAACAGGGACAGGCCCTCAAGGAGTGCTGTGGTTTCTTTAAATGACCCCCCAAAGCCTCATGCAGTTATGGAGGCAGCTGAGTCGAGCATTTGTGATTGGTTTTTTGTCTAGTGCTGGGATTGGTGGTGTGGGTGCTGCACCTGCCCAGGGATGAGTAACGTGTATAATACAAGAGCGGGAAGGAGATGTGTTTTTTTCTTTTGCCCTTTTTTGCTCTTATTGCTTGTAGCTGCCATTAACAGCTGCCCTTCAGCCATGACACCCTGCCTTGGAACCAGCTGAGTATGGACTGAAACCTCCAAAACACTGCAAGATAAATAAACCTTATATATATTTTTTTTATTTTGGGTGTCAGGTATTCTGTCTCAACAATGAGAGAAAAGTACCAAGACAGAATTTGGTACCAAAAGGGAGGTTGTTGCTGTCACTGTACCTGACCATGTGGTTCAAAAGCCTTAAAAATTGGCCTGTGGAAAGAGTTCAAAAAAGTTCAAAGATGTTGCCCCAAAAAATAGCCCTAAAACAGCTTAGGCTGTTTTATATGGGAGATTCTGGTCAGAGCTCAAAAGACTTTGCAAAAGGCTGATAAAAAGAGACCAAGCTTGAGAAGTTTCTGCTAAAAAGAAAAAGATTGCAGTGTGTGTTATGACTTGGCAAAAAGTTTGTCTGCATTTTGCTCATGTCCAGGAACTTTCCCCAAGACTGAGATTAAGGGCGGCAGACTGATTAATCTGGCAAAACAAATTTTGAGGCAGTCAAATGTTGAGGCAGTGGCATGGCTATTGGGGGCTTTTAGCCAGAGTTCTGTTGCAAAACAAAAGGTAAGAGCCCAGCAGGGTGATTTAAAACATGAGTTTAGTCAAAAAGCTATAAAGAGTTGAGATCTCAATTGCTAAAAAAAGTACAAAAAAAAACCCCCACCAAAATAATAATAAAATAACCTGTAGAAATCTCAGAAAGGCAGTGGGTATCTAGCCTTTGAAGCCTCATGAAAGGGTTTTGGCCCAGACAGGACACTGTAGCCAGGAAAGCCTCACCCGGAAGCAGGAAGCCCCTATCTCCCCTGCCCCTAGGAATTTACCTATGGCGCCAAACCTAGGACCAGTGGGCTACCTGTGCATCCCTAATGCCCTCCTTAGGTTCCACCCCAAACCGAGGCTACTTACCCCCACGCCATGTGTCGGCCGGAGAGATCTCTGGACACCAGCGGTGGGGGGTGCCAGCCATCTCTTTCCTTGTTCTCAGAATAAAGGTCGCTTTTTGTTTTATACGTCTCATCTTTTGGAAATATTTTTCATCTTTTGGAAATAATCCTATCACCTCAAAACTGCAAAAGTAAAAGATACTGTTTGGAGAAGAAAGTCACGAAATGCAATGCTCCAAAATGGTGGCATAGACCACACAAGGTTCCAAAATGGTGGTAATATTAAAAAAACCATCTTCACAATCACTTTCAGAGTGCACAGCAATCCAGGCACTCAACCCCTATAGCCAAGAGAGAAAAAAGCCTGACAGTATCCTTGTGGCACTAGTTTTAGGCGCATAGAAAATGCACAAGTTCTGAGGTTAAGGCAGCTTCCACCCCAACTTCAAAAGGCCTGGGAGGCCAGGCAGTGGTGCGCTTTCGAGAGGGTAGAGTGTAAAGCCAAAGGTGCAATGAAAAATCTCAAAGTTTTAAAAAAGCCAAAAGCATAGATCATCTTTAAAGCAGTTTTTTAAGGCCAGGCAGGGCAGGCCTTAAAAAGAGTCCTAAGAACTAAAACCCCTGAAAGTAGCAGGGAGATAGTCACTTAAGCCTTTTAGAGCTCACAACCAGATCGCTTCAGATGCTAAACATAAAACTTTAGGACTTAATGTTTGTTCTGCTGTATTTTAAACTAACTTTGGTCCCATTCCTTTATATCCCCATCTGTATCCTTTAAAATAGCAATGTGTGTCTTGTGCTATTAAATGTTTAAAATGTCCAAGTTTGTTTTCATTTGTACAGGGGCTCACAGCTACAAGTTTGCCTTAATCTCAAAAGAGACTTAGACTTTTCAGCAGTGCTAAAACTGTTAGGACTTTGGCAACTGTTGGAGATGGAGTATGTCTTTTACATAAAAATATAAGTTTTGGGGGGTCAAGGACGGAAAGCTGTGGTTTTTTAAAATGTTCTCCCAGAACCCCATGCAATCGTCGAGGTGGCTAAGTCTAGCATTTGTGATTGGTTCTTTGTCTAGCGCTGGGATGTTGGCAGTATGGGTGCTGCATCTGCCCAGGGGTAGATAACCAGTATGTAATACAAGAAGGCAAGGAGGCATGCTTTTTCCTTTTGCCCTTTTTGCTCTTGTTGCTTGTAAATGCCATGAATGGCTGCCCTTCAGCCATGCCACCCTGCCTTGCAACCAGCTGAGTATGGACTGAAACTTACAAAAACTGTTAAGATAAATAAACCTTTCCTTCCTTCATTTTCAGCATCAGGTATTTTGTCTCAAAAACAAGAGAAAAGGAACCAAGACAGAGAGTCAGTGCAAACGACAAGACATTCTAAAACTATGTCTAGGGGTGCATCTGTTGGAGGCTCAAGGTAAAGATGGAGTGAGCAGGCCTACAAGTGTCCCTGAGGGATAAACAATAACTTGTGATTGTGCTCTGACTGGACCCACTTGGTCCAGGAAAGTCCAGATAAAAATCAGTCATCCAGGTGGGTGACTAGAACATCCAGACATATTCCTTCCCCCAAGTGCCTTTGTTCTTCCCATACACCCTTGCTACATGACTCACTTCACAATTGGATCAATATTAGCTAAGTGGCTGTACTTTTAATCCTACAGGTTGACTGTAGTTTGACCCACGTTGTACTCACATTATGACTTTGCTATTTAAATGACCCCTGGCAAGTACCTTGCTGGCAACCCTCTTTAGGGGCCCCTCCTGTCTCTGGGGAGCTACGTCTCAAACCTTTCCTACTCTTTTTTTTAAATTTTATTTTGAAAGTGGTAAGATACAACAGAACAAGACAGAATAAAGCCAACTAAGATCGTACAGTGAAATTGGTACAGAAGTTCACAGCAGGTTACCGGGATAACAGTAAAAGATATCACAGTATATTTTGTTATCTTTATAATAGTTGTTCTTCAGTCACGTATATCAAAATGAGATGAAATAACAGAACATTATAGAACTTTTCAAAACAGAATATTGAATAGAGCAGTGCCATTAATCAGAATAGAGCAAAACAGTAATGAAAATATTTGCCTTCAAAGAGATGGTAGAAGGAAGTCCTCCTTATTTGCTATGGTCAACCTCCCAGGAGACGCTCAGATTTCTGGTTCATATTTGCTAATGGTGGGGGGGACAGGAGAAGGGGATTAGGGGAAGTGGGATGTTTGACTTTAGGCCGTGCATCAGTAAAACCTTTCCTACTCTTAACCTCCATTGTCTTTTGGAAATCAGGTTTTGTTTTCAGGGGACACAAACTTGCCAAATCTGGCATCTGGCAGGTTGGGAGATATATTTCTCCAATATCTGTATGATTCAAAAATATGGTGTGTATTTAAAATTTTTATTATATAAATATTACAGTCATTAATCTTCCTCAAAATACCCTCCCTTATTTCAATCACACTTATCCCATCATTCTTGCCACTTTCTTAAAGCAGTTCTTTAAGTCCTCTTTCCTGAGTGTCTTTAGTTACATTGTCCTAGCTGCCTCTAAACTGATTCAACACATTCACCTCTCATGGTTACTTTGATTTTGGAGAAAAATCAGAAGTCACACAGTGCTAGATCCAGTGCCTTTCTGTTAGATGGCACTCAACAGCCTTCACTGTATTTTTTATCACACTTTGTAAAGAGGCTCAGGAGAGGACTTACAGAACTACTTCCTAAAATGGCGAGAATAATAGGATAGATCTGTTCAAAGCGAGGGAATATTTTGACAGGGATTAATGCTATTGTGTCTTTTACTATAATTTTAAAAATTTAAATGTTCACTGTAGTTTTTAATCACACCTTATATTTTAATGTCTTAGTATCCAGTAAAACTAGCCCTTGTTTTTCAGATAATGAAGAGTTCCTGCCATTCTATATAGAACTATTATCAGTGATACAATGGTGAAAAACTTTAGGTTTTTTTACATTTTTTTGGTTTTAAAACTCTGTCCACCGAAAGTGCATCCTTATACTCCCAGCAATCACACTACCTGTTTCTGTGGCAATGCTGGTATAGAAAATTCTAACCTTCTGGAACTCTGCCTCATGAATTGCAGTCATATAAATAACATCTCTCATCTCAGTGTGGAACAAGAATACTGCTTAGGAGCAGCAATACAATATCCTTTTGTGACCATTGTCCCCTTCGAGTGACATCAGAGTCCAAGTTACAGTTGCAGAAAACTGTATAGTTTGCTGACAGTGTGGCTTAGCCATTGGAAGATGGCACATTCCTCTGGGACAGGGATGGTTTTCATTATGGAAGGCCTGCAGGAAAATAGTCTGCTCATAGAAAGATCTTAAATTAGGCAAAGAACATGAATAACAGCCATACAAAGAATGGATATAGAAATGATCCTATGTAAGAATTAACAGACACAGGAAATTTGATCCATATTTTAAAGAAAATCAATAAACAACATAGAACAAGATGAACAAGAAAAGGAAATCAAAGAACAACGTGCAGGAAACAAGATCATAAAGTTCAAGTAAAGTCAAAAAGAACCAAATAGAACTTTTAGAAATAACAAAACAACTGGCAGTCCAGAAATATCTAGTCAAATATTAAAAAATATCTTAAAAAGTCAAAGTATGGTAGAAGAATTAAAGATCTGAACTAAGCTGAAGAGAGTAAATAAATGTGAATTTGACATGGTAGAGAAAAACATTTCAACCTGTAACACCCCCCTATCTATTAATCTTTTCATATTTTCTGCCACTTTCTTTGGATTGAAATCTGGATAATTTCTTTGGCTCAACAATTTGTATTTGTGCTGCTTTTGCTTAAAAGAATGTGGAAAAAATAATACAACATCTTTTGTTATGATTATAGGAAACATTTCAATATAATACTTTGAAATATGTAATGATTATGAATATATGGTTTATAATTGTATTTTTTAAAAACTCAGTGACATAACACACAAGCACTGGTTCAAACTTTTTCTTCTCTCCTGGGACTGAGCCAGGGTTTCAGGCTAGGCAAGTAAGTGTCTGTCACTGAGCCATACCCTTAATTCCTTAAATATTTCTTATGAATAGATGAATTTGAGCAAACTTTAGTGAATTAACTTTTGAGGGTAATTATATGTCTCGGGTTTTTCATAATTCCAAAGTTAATGCTAATTAAATATTCTGCATAAAACTAAGGCATTTCGCAGTGTAGGCATTCTAAATTTCCTAAATTGATATTAAGGATGAAGAAAGTCATTACTAACTACACTAATTGTGTGAGAACACAGATATAAAACTATGTCTAGATAAATTATAATCCAGATTTTTAAAAGGTTTTTTATCTTATAAAATTCTTATACTAGTACTACTGCTTTTAAGGACTAAACGTGTAAAGTTTTAATTTTTCAGGTCTTCTCTGGGAGAATCAGATTTGTAAAAAGTCTGAATATATTTGAGAAGTACTATGAAACGGCACAGTGAGGAGATAAAGGGCTTGTTGTTTCAGAAGGACTGGTCAGAGAACTCACTAGCAGAGCTGTTGGAAAAGTCAAAGGCAGTAAAGGAAAGAGCCACATTGGCCAGGCAGGTGGGGGTCAGCAAGGAGGCCAGCATGGCTGGGGCAAAAGGAGTGGGAGGTGAAACCCATTCCAGAGTCTTCAGTTATAAAAGCACTGAACACAGGCTCCTGCAGAGGTAACAGCAGCAGTGAAGTCACTGGATGGAATGTTTTCAGCAGAGAGACCACTTGATCTGACTTAAAATCGTCACTCTAGTTACTGTGTGGAAAATGAACTAAAAAAGCAGCATGGGCAGAATCAGACATTAAGAATTTTCTTGGAGCGAGAAATGGCCACGCTGAGAGGTGGGGAGCAGTGGAAGGCTGTGGATATATTTATAAATGTGGCCCGTGTAGATTAGGTTCGAGATGGCAGAGTGACTGGCATCTTTGGCTAGAATGGAGCTCCCATCGCTGAGATGAAATGACTATAGATCTAACTAAGGTTTTGGGGAAAACATCAGAAACTCAGCTTTGAGGGTGTCAAATTCATGATGCCTCTAAGACATCCAACTGGAAGCATCAAGGGTGCCGTTTCCTGCACCGAATGTGCCTATGTTTAGCTAGTCTGACCTTACGCAGTAATAAGAAACAAGAAAACATTGCAATTAATAGTTTGCTCACTATTTTTTTCACATTCTTGTCCAAGGATGTCCTATACACAATTATTTTTCATAATTGCAATAGTACACTATACGACTATTTTTCCAGTCCAGTTCTTTAAAAAAATTTCTCGTATTGCTAAGTAGCCAAAACATCCGTTTTAGAGTCTGCATTTTTATACACAGGTAATACTTTAAAAACAGGAAAGAACACCTCACCCCTTGCAAAGGTGGCAAAAGATACGCTAAACGGCTGCACTTTCTCCTCCGAAGCAGTAGAGGGCGCACAGACAGCAGAGGCTCTATTGTGCTCGGTGTTGGGGGCTTTCCTCTCTCTTTCCCTTCCTCTCTCCTCCCTCGCGTCCTTTGCCCAGGAAGTGCTCTTCCGGCACGGGTAGCCGGCGTGACTTTGAGCGCTTGGCGCTTGGAGCTGGTGCTGTGTATCCGGGCCGCCGTGGGGCTTCACGCTTTTGCTGTGGCCATGAGAGTGCTGGGGGCCGCCACGGCCGTGGCTCTGGGTCACCGGCCACTCTTTCGGGTCCCTGCAGCTTTGGGCTGGCAGAGGAAGCAGGTACGGGTGCCCGGCGAGGCCGAGCTACGGACCTTTCCCGGGACCTTGCGGTTCCCCTCCGGGCCTGGGGAGCAGTGACGCCCCTTTCCTCACCCGACCTCCTGGCTGACAGCTCTGAATACCAGCGGTCGCGAAAAGTCCCTCGGTGCCTGCATAGTAGCTCGTTATTCAGGAGCAGCTTCTCAGAGCCCTGGGAGATCGGGCGGGCCCTTGATTTATGCTAAGCCTCTTTTGTGGTATAGTATAAAAGCAGTGACTTGAGTGAAGGTCAAGCATAAAAATGAGCCCTCCAGGCCCGAGCAGACTACTGACTCGTTATGGCAGTGGGCTGATTGGCCTTTCTCAGCCGTATTTGATTTGCTGCTTAAATCACGGTAGGTTTGTCTGTTCATGTTTCGTAACAAATACATTTTTGACCAGATTCTGTCATTTTTCCCAGATTATTTTGCCTCTTAGAAGTGACAGCCATGCAGTTTGGATGTACAGTTCTGTAGGGAGAACTTTATACTAAATCTTTACATAAAACACAGGGTTTCTTAGTAAAGTTTTTTTTTTTTTTTTTTTTTAAGATACCTCGTTTGTTTGTAAAAGAAATTTGAAACCTTGGGGGGGGCTGTCTTGAAGCTGCTGTCATCTTTTATAGCGCAGATAAATCCACGAACTATCAAAGACAGCAATAAGGGATATCAAAGCCAGCTATCAAAGACAGCAATAAGGGATAGAGGTAAAAATTAATGTAAAGTTGAAGCTAAACCTTGTGTTTCCTACTAAATCAGTTTTTAGAATCTTTCTGATTTTATCACCTCCAGTGTATATTTTCAAATTAATGACTTGGCAAAGGTTTCTGTATTTTAATTAATTTTAAGGAATGTCTTGTCTTTTGCCTTTTGTAATCTTTCCTATGGTTACAGGAGTTGCAAGTTGAAAACATTTGTCCTCATGTCCAGTAAGATTTTTCAGAGGAAAGATGGTCATCATTCATTCACATTTTAATTGCCTGTTGTCTCATAGAAAGTGTACTGAATTGAGCTCTTTTTTTTTTTCAGATTAGTTGGAAGTTCTGCCGGTGGTGTTCATCAGGGATAATTCCTAATGAAAAAATACGAAATATTGGAATCTCAGCTCACATTGATTCGGGGAAAACTACATTAACAGAACGAGTGCTTTACTACACGGGCAGAATTGCACAGATGCATGAGGTGTGTGTTCATGGCAGATTCCAGATTAAAGCTTGATTTTAATTGTTTTGTAGTTATTAAATACATCCCACTAAGCCTCTAAGTTTAAAACATGGTAGCAGTGTTTCTTTAACCAAAATCACATTCAGAGAGTGGACAGTTCATTGGTTTGAAGTAGTCTAGAGGCCACCACTGTGCCTATCCTGAGCAGATTGTCTTTTAAAACTTTTAAATCAATATAGCATACCCTAAACAGTTGTTAAATAATCTTTACATGATATTAATGATGGATAAATACTTGCAGTAGTGAATGGAAAAATAGATTTAAATGATACATAGTATGAACTCAATACTTAAAATGCATGTTGAAAAAATTATTTTTAAAAACCTTAAAACTAGGGCTGGGGATTTAGCTCAGCGGCATAAGCGCCTGCCTTGCAAGCAGGCAGTCGTGGGTTCGATCCCCGGTACTGGGAAAAAGACAAAAAAAACAAAAACAAAAAAAACCCCTTAAAACTCCTGAAGACATTACTGTATCACTTATATATCTCTGGATGAAGGACATTTTATTAAATCTTTTATACAACTCGAGGCTAGTGGGTAAGAATAGGGAGTGAGAGAGTAGAGTACAGGGAGTTCTAAGACCGGGTTGATTATCCTGCTTTAACACTTCCAGAGGACAAAAGTGAACAAAATGTTGGTAATGAAGACATGAAAAAGTATCATTTACTGTGTATTTTTATGAGGTGATAAGTTTATGTTATCTGAACATGTGTAAGGTAGGTGTTGGGTTCTGATTCCATTTCAGTGAATATTTTCCTTTCTTGGGATGCAGGGACAGAGAAATCTGAATTGTTGTTTGTGTTTAGGTGAAAGGTAAAGATGGAGTTGGCGCTGTCATGGATTCCATGGAACTAGAGAGACAGAGAGGAATCACTATTCAGTCAGCAGCTACCTATACCATGTGGAAAGATGTTAATATCAATATTATAGATACTCCTGGTGAGTTAGGGTCTTGGTTTTATTGTATCTTATTTTGGAAAAATAAGTTTAGCTTTGTCTTCTACTATGACCTAATTTTTGCATATCAGATGAAGAGGTAACAGTGAATTTCTATTAGAGAGGATGGATTTGGGACTGGAATGTTTCATTTTGTGTGATTTCCTTGCAAAATAATGCAAACAAGTGTACTTAAGAAGATTCTTTTTACATATTCCAGCTGAATTCAAAGTTGCTCATATCCTAATACTTTTTAGGGCTGATTTTTTTGGACCTTGGACTTGATGGTAGATGAATAATATTCATGGGCTGAGGAATCTATACTCTAATTAGAAGATTTACCCAATTAGCAGAGGCACAAAAACTTAATAGTATGTGTATTAAAAATTCAGACTGCTTTTAAAACCATCACATGCTACTTTTCTCATTTAGGCCACGTGGACTTTACAATAGAAGTTGAAAGGGCCCTGAGAGTGTTGGATGGTGCAGTCCTTGTTCTCTGTGCTGTTGGTGGAGTGCAATGCCAGACCATGACGGTGAATCGACAGATGAAGCGCTACAATGTTCCATTTTTAACTTTCATTAACAAATTGGACCGTGTGGGCTCCAACCCAGCCAGGGCCCTCCAGCAAATGAGGTACTAAGTGTCAGAAAGAACAGAGAGAATGTGTTGATCTGGACAGCAGACTTTGTATCTAGAGGGATAATTATTCAGTATTTTAAAATTTTATCTTTAAATTTCTCCTTTTTAGAAAACTTATTTGTTTTTTAACTTAATAATTGGAGCTACTGAGTTTGATAGTTTGGCTTATCTAGGGAGTTTGAAGATGAGTTCAGGGAACAATCACAGTTTAGACTGTTTGGTTATATTAGAGATGCTGTAATCTAGAATAAATTTTAGGAAAACTTACCATTTAGATGAACCTACAAGATTTTTTTTTTATTTTAACCTTTACTTGAGGGATGTTAATAAATGCTCTGAAGTAGTATTCCTAAGGGGTGAAATTTCATTACTTTCAGAAGTGTATTTCCTAGGACAACAGTAGCTCGCTCTTTCTGTAGCAGACAAAACCCAGAAGTGCTTAAAGCACTTTACATTTTGCACAGTACATTTCACCTACTCTTTAAAAATTAGAGTGAACTGTTGGTTCCCAGTTCACTTCATGTAGGTGTGCAAGGGTAGCTGTAGAGGATAAGATACATAAAGGCTGCTGGATACAGGCAGTAAAGTTTGGGAGAGGTGGAAGTGATGTGTTTGAGAAAGTGAAAGTGTTGTTTTTCTTTTTTTGGTATTTGTAATTTCTTGGTAAACTTAAACACCTTTTATTTGTGCTTCCACTAAGTCAGCATTATTTGATTATTTTTTTTCTCCATTGCTCCATTCCTATTTATGTTTTCTGATTTTGTGACTCAGCAAACATCGTTTTGTAACTTCTGAATCTGGCCTCCAATATTTTAACTTTTCTATCTTTTTTTCTACTTTTTTTTTTTTTTTTTTTTTGTCTTTTTCCTTTTTATCGGTACCAGGGATCGAACTCAGGACTGCCTGCTTGCAAGGCAGGCACTTATGCTGCTGAGCTAAATCCCCAGCCCCCATGAGAGATTTCTTGAGGTTAATATTCTAGATCATAAATTTGGAATTAGTCTTTCTCTCCTGTTATTTATCTTATCTGTTAAAAAAAAATAAACCCTGCAGTAATGTAGTTAATTTTAAAAATCTTTTATTGCAACACTTTTTAAGCAGAGGTAATTCTCAAATTTTTGAATTTTACTTTCTTTCATCTAGTTCTCTTCCTGAAGGTTAGTACTATTTCTTGAGTTCACATTTCTCTTACAAGGTATTAGTTTCCTTCAAATACTTAGTGATTGTTAGGTCTCTATCCATAGTTGCCTATGGAAGTCTAAAGTCTGGACTAAATGGCAGTTAGAGCATATTTCTTCTTCAGCTGAGAGGAAATCCTGCTGCTACGTGCAGTTTCTGTTCAGTGATTGCACCCCGTTGAGGTATAGGCTGATGACTGACTGACTTTGCAAACCCATTCTAAGAGGTTTCATATAGAAGCTGTCTCTTAAGATAGCTTTAGTCAGTTTTGTTGTCTGCTAATCTGAGGATAAGAATTGGATTCAGCTGTTGTACTGTCCTTTTAATTCCTTGGCCAGCCATCTATTAAGCAGTTGTTCTCCCTTGTGCTTCTGATCTGGCATATTCAGGGGATCTGATGAGAAAATGTTCATTTTTAAAGTTAATTCTATTGATGATATCTTCCTGTCCTTCTTGAGTTTGTTTGTCAGTTTGTTCTCAACTGCTTTGTAATTCTGACCTGCTGGTACATGTCTTCAGTGTCTACCATTTATACATATTTGTATTTTTCATTTGAAAAAGATTTTGAGAGAAGAACAGAGAAACTCATGTATTTCTATTTTTTAGGTCAAAACTAAATCATAATGCAGCGTTTATGCAAATACCGATTGGCTTGGAGGGTAATTTTAAAGGTATTATAGATCTTATTGAGGAACGAGCCATATTTTTTGATGGAGACTTTGGGTAAGTGCTTAAAATACATTACTAAAATTTTTGTAAATAAGAGGGAGAGAGGTTAAAGGGGAAAAAAATAATCAAGATATATTATGTATGGATACAAATTCCCTGTGATGAATGTGATCTTTATATGTATCTAAAATGTACCAATAAAATTAAAATTTTATATTTTATAAAACATCAGAGAGAAGGGAAGAATAATTTCTCTAAACTTTTTGAAATGTGCCTGGAAAATATTCTCTAAAGGTGATTTTTTAAAAAAAATACCTTTAATTCTAGTTACTCTCCTAGTATTCTGAGAGAGAGCATGTTACCTTTCGGTTAACAGACTCATATCATATTGTCTGTGTCATGCCTGGATTGATAGAAGGAGGCTTTCAATTTAGACTAATAATTTAATCTGTCATTTTCTGTTTTTTCATTTGTTTCATTCTGTAAACATTGAGCATCTTTACTTTTTCCTGAGCATTGTGATAAAGACTGGGAGAAAATAGGGATTCTAAATATTTCTTGTACCTGTTTCATGGGAAAACAAGACGTTAATGTGTAAAACCAGTTGTAGTTTAGGAAATTCCAGAAGAAAATTGACATGGTATTTGTTCTGTCAACTTTTTGAGTGACTTCTACATAGAAAAGTTATTAAATCTTAACATTCATAAAAATCACCTCCAAAATTCGTTGAAACACACATTCTAGAGTATGCCTCCAAAGATTCTGATTCAGCAGATCCTGAGGAGGGTGGAGGGCTAGAATTTGTATTTCTAGAAGTTCCCAGCTGATGTGGATGGAACATGTATGCAGATCGTAGTTGAGTGACACTGGCCTAAGCAGTGAAGGGATTCGTATGTGATTCTTTGGTTTGAGGAGTTTCTCAGGATCTTGCCAGTTCCGCCAGAGACACTTCCTTCCTCTGCTGTGGAATTGGGATAGTAGGTTTGACAAGTTGGATGATGGCATTGTGATCAGTGAACTGTGGGATTTATCTTATCTGCCAGCTTGTAGACAAAACAGGATGGAAGTTGTCTAGGGGTAAAGTGTTTCATGTTTTGTGTGTCTGCATGTACTTTTCACTCCTTAGAATGTAAGGCCATTGTTCTTTTATTTTTCTGCTTTATTCACTGCCTTGTTTCCAGCCCTTTGAACTTCCTGATCCATCATAGGGACTCAAAAAATTTTTTTTAAATAAATGAGTGCATCCTCTTTCCAAGAATTACCAGGGAATATGTTTCTAAAGTAGAAGCTCTGAAATACTTTTTGTGTATGAGAACACAGATGAAACTTCTTATTGTACATGCCTCCAGCTACAGACTACTTGATACATGTATTTGGAAAGGACTCCACACATGAATGTGACATATAAGGAGCTAAAAACCAGAATTATGATAAAATTATAGAAACAAGATGAGCTTTAGACTTTAGACAGGTTGGTTTTGAATCTTGTCTCTTCCATTTACTATTAGTTTAACCTTGGAGAAGTTCGTGTGCTTGTTTAAATTAGTTTCCTCACTTGAAAACACAGATAATAGGAACGTCTTCATATGAGCTGATGATCAGTAGCTATCTAGTGTTCAGTGCAATATAAGTATTAAATGAATTTTTAAAACTTGTATGCTTTCTAAGTTGAATGCAATAAAAACAGTCCTATAACTACACTGAAAAAAATTTCAATCTTTAGTTTAGTTGATATTTTTCTAATTCATTGTTTTAATCTTTATATACTTTACAGCATATGTTCATTATGGATATCTAGAATAGGACAAAGTGGTTTGTATTAAATTGGGAAGGATTTTATATTGGATTATCATTCTCTTCTGCAAAACTTTACATGGAAAAAATAGAATGTGATGTCTTACAAAATTAAAAATACTATTATTTTATCATTGTAGAGAAATGTTTGAGTTTTGGTTCTGTTTATTAATAGTATAACCTTGACTAGGTTCTTTGTCAGTTTAAGTATTTTTTGCCCTTAAAGATATTCATTAGTTTTATTTACCATTCAAATGCAAATATATCAGAGCACTTTCTTACCTAAAATTTTTTTTAGCTATTAATCATCTTTGTCATTGGTGCTATATATTTCTAATTAAATATCCTTAGAATATTAAAATAAAGCATCCATCTTTTTCAGTCAGATTATTCGGTACAGTGAAATTCCAGGAGAATTGAGGGCAGCAGCAGCAGATCACCGGCAGGAGCTGATTGAGTGTGTGGCCAATTCAGATGAGCAGCTTGGTGAAATGTTCTTAGAAGAAAAAATCCCTTCAATTTCTGATTTAAAGGCAAGTGCTTGCAAACTAAGTCTTACATTAACAAAGCTTTTTGTGTGTGTGGCAAGAGTACACTATACCTTTAGGAATTGGCTTTATTAATGAAGTCTGAATAAATTTATTTAACATAATTGGCATCTCTGCAAAATACTTGACATGTCATGCTATTTTTTTTTTAACAAGTAGTGAGTTAAGCTAGAGGTTTAGCCCCGCGGCACAAGCGCCTGCCTTGCAAGCACTAGGTCGCAAGTTTGATCCCTCGTACCAAAAAGAAAAAAGGTAGTGAGTTAATATATTCAAATGTGAAAGGAATCATTTCTAGGAAAAAACAAAGAATGTTAGGCCATCAGCCTCTTAAGTATATTAAAAAGAATAAAAGATAAATATAAAAATGCAGTTAGACGGGGCCAGGGATTTAGCTCAGTGGTGTAAGTGCCTGCTTGGCAAACACGAGGTTGTGAGTTCAATCCCTGGTACCAAAAAAAATCCAAAACAAACAAACAAAAATACACAGACAAAAATACAGTTGCAGCTGAGGATGCTTGCTGATTTTTTTAAACTTTTAAACTTTTTTTTAAGGCAAGGTCTCACTCTAGTTCAGGCTGATCTTGAACTGCCCATGTAACCCAGCCTGGCTCAAACGTGGTGATCCTCCTGCCTCAGCCTCCCCAGTGTTGAAATTACAGGTTTGTACTACCATGCCTGGCCTTTTATGTGTTTAGCCTGAGACTTTATAATTTAGGTCCTTTAGTATTCTTAAAGCGCTTAGCACTCAGGTCCCTAATGAATGGGGTACGTGTATAGGAAGCATAGGACTGACCCTAGATATAGTCAAGCATTCTATGTGAGCCTCCAGAGTTCTCTTCCACGGGCGTCACTCAGGACAGCTTACATCTCCTAGCAAGGAAGTGCAACAGCATCTGCGATCTGTTACCACCAGAGAGGCTCATTAGAAACAGTGCCTTAGGTTTTTAACAGAGTGTGGTCACATAGATGCCGTCTGCCTCACGTGTACCCTAATTGAGACTCCCAGGAGAAAAGGAGATGTTTAGCACACTCCAATTTGTACAAACAGTGTAAGCACAATGAACCATTCTTGCCATTTCTGAGAATCTTGAGGCTTCACCTGAAGTCCACACTCCCAGGTACTAGCCAAGGCCAGCCTTGTAGGCAGGCTTCTCCATGGAAAGTTTCAGTGTTGCTCTGCTTTTTCTTTGATGTGCAGTATACATGGGAATACTTTAAGTTTCTGTGTTGCAGTTGGATGTGTATGCTGGGGCACTGTAAAAGCAATAGCTTTCAAATCTGAAAGTAATTCTTGTAAAAAGGGGAAATATTTTGGAAAACTAAGGTTTAGGGGAGCTGTTTTAAGGATGATTTTCATTTTTCTCCATTTACCTCTACCCTCTTGTGCCTCTGGGTCCTGTAAATGTAGTCAGTATGTTAAGATCCCTGCTTGCGTATTAGGAAGAAGTCGAAAGTCAGGGCCCAAGCGGCCTGTGGTAGACTAAGTGGTTAGTGATCTAGCGAAAGATAGTTTTAAATAGTAATTGCTTGCTTTCCTTGCATGTCTCCCTCTTTCTATGCCTTCTTGTTATCCTCAGCTCTTACCCTACTTTAAATTGTGTTGATGGTTAGAACTTGTGGGTATAAATGTTTGGCTCTAAACTTTTGAGGGCTGCCATGTTTCTGGTTTTTCCCTGAGGCCTGAGAAACAATTGTACGCTACCGCGTATCAGTGCGGTGTTATGGCCACAGACTTGGCCTCTTTCAGCTGTTGCAGCTGAGCTGCACCATGTGTTTTCTGCGGCCTACTAAGCCTGCAGACCACAGTGATAGTTTGCTGGGGGAGTTGGTGTGCGTCTAAAATTCTTATTTTAGAGACTGCTATTGTCATGTTCCTTACTTTAAGAGTGATTTGTACTGTTTGCTTTCCTGGGCTTGTGTTCTTTTTAAAAGAAGAAAGTAATTAAATGATTCTAATAGCTGGTACTTCCATGATTTAAACATTCAAAAGTGTATGTGTATTAAAAACTCTCCCAGTTGGGCATGGTAGCATATACCTGGAATCAGCACTCTGGAAGCTGAGGCAGAAAACTCAAGCTCAACCTGGGCAACTTGACGACAAACAAAAAATAAAAAATGGGGAAACAATGTGGTTCAGTGTTAAGGCCCTGAGTTCAGTCTCCAGTACCACAAAACAAAACAGTAAAAACTCTGCTTTCTTCTCCCAGCTGTCTAATTCTCTGCCCTTGCCATAAAACAGGTTACCATTGAATAGCTTCTGGGATATATTTCCAGTGACTTCAAAAGAAATACAAGTTACCTTTCCTTCTATTTCACACAGTTACGAGGACACAGTTTGCACTGTTCTGTGTGTATACATACTATTTTTGCCGGGTCGAAAATTAGTGATTCTAAAAACATTAAAAGCAGTTGTAAAGTAAATCACTTCCAGACTCTGAAAAGGAAAATGACTTTTGTTTCCTTTGTATTTTGGCTTCAGACTATTTGGGCCTGATTTTAGTTTTCACTACAGCTAGTACTCCAAAGAGCTTCAGTTTATTTTATTCATGTGTTGGATTGTGATTAGCCTGAAACACAAAATGTAATGTTCACATTAATTAAACACTGATTTCTTTCTTTTTTCTAGCTTGCAATTCGAAGAGCTACTTTAAGTAGAGCATTTACTCCTGTGTTTTTGGGAAGTGCCTTGAAGAACAAAGGAGTTCAGCCTCTTTTGGATGCTGTTTTAGAATACCTCCCAAATCCGTCTGAAGTCCAGAATTATGCTCTTCTCAATCAAGAGGAGTGAGTCTTAGCAATTAAATCTTGGTTTATACAGAAAAAACATTTATGCACTATGAAGGCTTTTGAGGATCATTCTAGTAACTTTATAGTGTTTTACATAATTTACAAAAGTTGACCATTTTTAGTTGAGTACTAATTTTGGTGTACAGAAAAATACTATACCAATTCTTGTGTCATATTTTGTTTGTAAGTTACCGATGTGATTTGTTTTGCTTTTAAGGTGTATGTCAGTAGAACATTTTCTCATTTGGGATCAGCTCTTTACAGTCATATTTTCTTCTTTAAAAAGGAACAAAGTTTTTAAAAGTTCTTGTCTCCCCACCACACCCATAATGACTGGATTTAGGGCCTTTGCATTTTGCACTAAGCTACATCCCTAGCACTTTTTCCTTTTTAAGTGTTTTATTTAATTTTGAGACTGTCACTAAGTTAATAAGTTCCCCATGCTGGACTCCAATTTACAATCCTCCTACCCCAGCCTCCCAGAGGGTTAGGATTACAGGTGTTGCCGCTGCGCTCAGCTTTCTTTGTTTTGTCTGTCAGACAACTTCTGTTTTTCAGTCTGTCCTTTCATAGTAACTAAGACCTAGGAATTTATCTTCATAGGTCTCGTTCAGTGAAATTTTACTTTTATGTGAGGTCAGAGGTGGTTAGCGCACATATTTTTTCTCAGATAATACTCATAGATACAACAGATTGGTATAAAAGAAATATCAAACACTATATCTCATAGATGTATATTTTTTTGATTTTTTTAAGTGACTCAAAAGAAAAAACCAAAATCCTAATGAACTCCAAAAGAGACAATTCCCATCCGTTTGTAGGCCTGGCCTTTAAACTAGAGGTAAGTTGCTTTCCAGTGTATTCAACTGGTGTTTGTACAGTTATACCCCTTATGAAAAAGTAGAAAGAATGATAGAAAAATTTCCAAATTGCTGTTACTAGGATGATAGTTTCTTGTAAGGAGATACATTTTCTTCTTGTCTCTTCACTTGTTTTAAAATATAAATTTTTACATAAATCTGTAAATTTTGTCCTGCTTTTTAAATTTATTGTGATAATAGAGGTGGTCTGTGTTTGTATAAATACTGTATTCGGATGTTTTTAATTGTGGTATCATAAGTAAATATGCAATAATTTGCTTAAAAATTTTCAGTTATTGGACATTTGTATTTATCCAGGCTATTACATTAACAGTGGAACTTCTGGAAATTTGTCCTAAGGAACTAATGAAGTGTAGTATATTAGCATTAGGTTTAATTTGCTTTTTTTTTTCGTACCAGGAATGGAACTCTGGACCTTAAGCTTGCCTGGCAGGCATTGTGCCACTGAGCTCTGTTCCTTGATCCTAGTTTGCTTATCTTACCTGGCTTATAAAAATAAAGCCTTATAATTAAAACTGTGAAGGTGTTGTGGTTTGATTAAAGAAACTGAGATACATCCTTACAGTGAAATGTTACTCAGACATTAAAAATTATGTTGATGTGTTTATTTTTTGACATGAGAAGATATGTTTTTTAATTAGTTATCTTAGATTTACAGAAATTGTAAAAATAGTAGAGAATTTCTGTGTATCCTCTACCCAGATTTCTTATTAATTAACTTTGTCATAACTGATTGATCGAGACTGATGTATTATTGTTAGATTTCCTTAGTGTTTGCCTTGTCACCTTTCTATCGCAGCAGCCCATCCATGTTCCGCGTTATATTGAGTTATCTTGTCTCCTTAGACTCTTCCAGACTGTCACAGTTTTTTAAGCTTTCTTTGTTTCTCATGACCTTACATCATTTGTAGCAGTAAGCTAACGTATATTAAGAGAAGCTACTACAGTTAGGGGTATTTGAAGGTAATTAGTTTCCTCTGAATTAGGTTAATTCTTATTTTCTTTCTATTCTTCTTGCTGTACTCAATGTTGACTTCTAGGCAGGTCGATTTGGACAGTTGACTTACGTCCGCAATTACCAGGGAGAGCTGAAGAAGGGCGATAGCATCTATAACACGAGGACTGGAAAGAAAGTGCGGGTGCAGCGGCTGGTGCGCATGCATGCAGACATGATGGAGGCAAGTACACGGTCCCTGTGGGGTCAGAGGCTCCTCTGATCACGTGACAGAGACCTTCACACCTGGTGTCCTGAGCCCTGCTACAACATCATGTCAGGTAGCACACACATGTTTTCCTTGCTGCTTCCTTTTCCGTAGGCTTGTCATTGTTCTGAGTTAGCATTTTTATGCAGTCTGAATTGGCATGTTAAGAGCTTATTTTAGACAGTTGGTTTTAAGATAGCATTAGTTAAATTTCAAGAAAAGGAATTAGTTTACTGAAGATCAACACAAGAGTCAGCACTTTTCTCAAGAGCTATGAAGAATTTAATAGACAATTAGGATAGTGGAACTATTTCTTTTTTTTTAATTTTATTTAAGGAGAAAAAGAAAAAAGCAGAAAAAGTGGAACTGTTTCTTAAAGGTGAGCAATAAACCTTTGCATAATTTTTATGTGGTTTTCTAATTTGCTTTCTTAAGTATGGAAGGTATAAAAGTCCCATTTAACTCTGATGGTTTTATTTCTGTTATATAATCCCTTACCTGACCATGTTGGTACTAGACTCCTCATGAAGATTTAAAAATTCTCAAGATCTAGCCTTGAGACTTAAGCTTGAAGGGTCTTTGACCTAAGACTTGGATTGCTCTAAATCTTTCCTAGCCTTCTATAGTCCTTCTTGTTAGGCCTTTATAGGAATGCTGAATGCATGAGGTTGTCTTCACTTCTATCTTTCTCCAGTGCAGCCTTACATTTCCAGAGAAACTTGCCAGTCTAAGTGAAATCTGAAAAATTTTTTTGGGAGCCATAACTTGTCTGTCTTGAAAAGTGAATAGACAGCCTCAAAATTGAAGAGCTTCGCTGCTCTGAGATACGTAGTAGGGGGCAGCCCAGAGATTGTGACAGTGATTGTCACAGCTGTTTCTTGGGCCAGATGGATGGAAATGTGCATGGCTGCCTTACCATTAAAGACACACACTCACTTGCTCACTCACACTACAGCTATTAGGAATGAACTGTTAGTGTAAAAGGACAATAACCAGGAAGCTTGGGAGCAGCAGTGCTTTGTTCTTGGCCTTCCTGTGTTTACTTGAATGTTTGCATCTGTGAGAAGTTAGAAATATTTTTAGTACAATGGACCCCACACATTCTTCTGCTTTTGTTTTCAGAAGGTCTTTTATAGTTTTTCTATATATGTCATACGTGATTGTCTGTGGCAGTACACATAGTATGTGCTTTTCAATTCGATGAAAATAATTTTCAAACTGTGAGGCACTATATTTTGTCAGTACTTTAGATGATTCAAATAATGAAACTATAGATTTGAGTTCTTGAAATAAAACCTTATCTGTTAATATGTGTTTTAAACAAAGATCAGTTGAAGATTGATCTTGACTTGCTTGCTTGTTTGTTGGGGTTACATTGGTTATTCTCTTTAGCATTCATGGTAAGAAATGCTATGCTGTACATGTATATTGTATTTATTGTGGAATTCCTTCATAGTTACATCTAGACTTGTATTACTTACAAGTATCATTTTGTATTGTTTATTCAGGATGTTGAGGAAGTGTATGCTGGAGATATCTGTGCATTGTTTGGCATTGACTGTGCTAGTGGAGACACATTCACAAACAAAGATAACAGTGGCCTTTCTATGGTAAGTTATTTAATTTCAAAGCTGTTTTTTAATCTGAATTTCAAAAGTGTAGTTTTATGTAGTGCATTTAATACTTCAGTAGAACAACTACAGAAGTTTCATTGAAAGGCCAGGGATTTAGGACAGTGGTGGAAGTGCCTGCTTGCCAAGTGCAAGGTTGTGAGTTTGATCCTTGGTACCAAAAAAAAAGTTTCATTGAGTGCATCAAGTTCATTGAGGCTCTTTGTTGGTTGTAGCTTTTTGAGCATCAGTTTGACAAGAACTTTGTATAATCTAACCTAACTGTTCTTTGAGTAAAATTCTACAATCCTCCAAAGATTAATGTGGAAGAAAAATTTCTTGACGTAACATGTGGACCCTGTAGCTCTGAACACTGTCTCCCTCCTTTAGCACCTTTCTAATTGTTGCTGCTAGTGTTAGGCTTGTTCCAGGGTAATGTTCCTTTCTTACTAATGCAACAATTAAGAGAATAGACCATTCCATGAACCACCTGGAGAACCGTAAGATCAGACTGTACCATTAGCATTTAGAATAGATTTGGGGATGATAGAACACAGTCATGCTCAGAAGATGCAATTAGTGAAACCTAATGCAGACAGCCAGCCCTTTGGAATTTAGAGGTCCCATTTTCTGATGGAGGGATGCTGATGGAAAAGGCAACTCCTGCCTTTTATATTCTTCATTAATTTCACTATACTGCCCTTGTAGAAGAGCAGTCTCTTCTATAAATACTATGATTATTTGTTAGTGAGGGCAACCTTCACCTGAATTCAATAGGGAAAGAGAAGGCATACATAGGAAATCAGGCCAGTTACCTTAGATCATTTATGTAAGAACTGGTCTGTCTAATAGATGAGCACTGTAATAGTGCCTGTATCATATGGTGAATTTATAATTTCATAACAGATTTTTTTGGTGTAAAATATCTTCTAATAACCAGGTAAAGCCTATTTAAAATACTTCAAAAATAATCTACACAATTTTTGTTTGAGATACAGAAACTCTTCTGTTATTGATAAGGTCTTATCTAAATATTTTGTCATTTGCAGTGTGACTTGAGTGTTATTGTGGAAGGAACTCACTTGGCCCTTAGCTAAGTTATTTTATCTTCTTTCTAAGCTTTTAGAGGCATGATTTGTAAAATGGGATAATACTTGCTTCTCAGAACTGTAACTGATGAAATAGGAATGTCTGTATAAAGATGTCAACTATATAAAGACTCTAGAACTCTTCCTATTTCCATTATTTTTGTGTGCTTTGGTTAAAAAAAGTAACTTATTGCAGTAGCAAGTGTAGTCACAGGCAATAAGAATTCCATGGGTCAGTTTTTGGATTCATTGCAGTGGTTAAAATGAATTTGTTTTGGTAGAGAGAAGATCATGTAAGTAGATACCTTTATTTACTAACATGTTACATTAATGTACTTACTTAACTCAAAACCGACCAAGGTATGTATCAGCCAACTTAAAGATGTTGACTAGTGTTTGTCCTTTGTTCTGAAATGAAGCTGTATGCTAAATTAATTCATCCATGACTCTTATAATGCTGTTTTTTGATTCTTTGTCTTTTTAAAAAATATTTTAGGAGTCAATTCATGTTCCTGATCCTGTCATTTCAGTAGCAATGAGCCCTTCTAACAAGGTGGGTGTTTGATTTAAAGTTCAGGTAATCATGATAAAAATTTGAGCTTTTTTTGGTCTATCTCTACGTATATATATCTTGTCATAACCAGCTGTTTTGTGGTCTCTGTTTCCTCTTTTTGGTGTTAAGATCACTTTTTAAAAAATTTTTTAATTAAATCTTTTTGTTGTTACATGTTTATAATACATAATGATTACATTCCTCATGGGGAGAATCTTTTTTTTAAAAAGCTTTTTATTTTAAAGAGAATAAAACAGCACAAAGCAATTTGAACTTCCCAGTCTATTTCCTAATAATTAAAGAAAATAATAGTGTTTTAACAATCACCAGACTGTACTTCATAACTTTTTACTATGTCATTGGCTCCAGTATGATAAAGGATTCTTTATGGATTCTTAAAGTACTGAAAAAGGGGGAAACAGAAATGTTTGTGTTAGGTCGTAGTGCAATAGTTATTCCAAGTGCTTTGCTAAGACCGTTTGCTTTTCCCTTTAGAAATATACAGGGTTAGCTGCAATATACAGTGGGACATACATGAAATTCCAGCACTTAGAAGGCTGAGACAGGAGGATCTCCTTAGCTAAGTTTGAGGCCAACCTAGGCTATGTAGTTCAAGACCAGCCTGAATTACACAGCAACTCTTGTCTCAAAAACAAACCAAAAAGGAAATATGCAGGGTTAGAAATTAAAGGTGTCATTGCCTTTTATTCCTAAATCCAGAGTGTATGTAAGACATTTAACTGCTAATCACAGTAATGGAGGAAATGACATGTATCAGTAACCCAAAATATTTTTTGATATCGCTGGGTTGTTTACATATTAAAAAGTTTAAAAGTATTTGCTTGCTAGAATAAACTAACTTAAATCAAATAATGAAGTGTCTACATAAAGTTGATTCTCAATAGTGAAGTTAGGGATGATGCTTTTGCTAAATTCTGACTATCTGTTCAGTGCAGAGAAAAGTTCTAACTTGCCATGTGCTAGCTGTATGTCCTTGAGCAAGTTACATGGCCTTTCTGTACATGGTTTCTGCATCTGTAAAAGATGGATAATTCTGTTTTGCAGCATTGAAAATAGGTTTGAGATAATATGTGCAAAATACATTACTATTGCTCTAAGCATCTGTAGATGATGGCTATTAATACTGGTGATACAGGGCATGTCAGTTTGCTGTTAGCATAAGGTAGTTCTATAGGTCAGAGATATGGTTTGCAGTGTATCAAATTAATCAAGCAGCTTTATGTTCTTTTTTGGAAGTTCTAGGGGAAGATTTCTTTCTTCACTCACTCAGGTTGTTGGCAGTATTATTTACTTGTGACTATAGGATTGGGGGTCCCATTTCCTTTCTGACGGTCATCTAAGGGCCATTCTAATTTTTGGAAGTTGAGCCCTTCTGAGGCCTTAGCTCTCTTCTTTTTCCATCACTGCATCTTTCCCATCCACCATTTTCCTTCCTTTTCCGTTTTTAAAGGCACACATGATAACATCGGACCCAGTCAGATACCCTCTGTGTCTTAAAATCTGTACCTTGATTATGTATGTGCATTATCCCCTTTACTATGTAAAGTAAGATATTTACAGATCAGTGGGTCTTAGGGCATCTGTGGAGGGCCTCTCTTTTGCTTGCCATATAGAATTGCATCAAAAATATCGAGGTGCATCATATTATCTCCATTTGAAAGGAAGAAGCTTCAGTGTGGTGTTTGCCTTACTGTTGGATAGGATAATGAATGCTTTTGAATGTATGAACAAGTCTTGGTAAACATGCTGATCCTTTTGATTATATTTATTATAGAATTTCAAGAGTAAAACCGACTCCCCTTGCCACATAATAGACATTTTTCCACTAACAGACTGCTTTTGTCACTTTAAGCGGAACGGTCATAGAATCTTGTTTGCTGTGTTGGTATGGAGAGAAAATTTATTCATGTAGCTATTCCCTGCTCTTTTGGTTGTGTGGCATCCAAAGTTATTTTTTAAAAAGTGTGTGACATACAGTTTGGTATGGACCATCTTTATGTTTTAATTGCTGATGTATTTGATTTCCTTCAGAAGTACCACTGCTTACCATGCTTAGCAAAATATCTGACTTTTCTTCTCTTAAAGAATGATCTGGACAAATTTTCAAAAGGCATTGGCAGGTTTACAAGAGAAGATCCCACATTTAAAGTCCACTTTGACACGGAGAGCAAAGAGACAATTGTATCTGGAATGGGAGAACTACACCTAGAAATCTATGCTCAGGTATTACTGGGTTTTATTAAGAGAAGTTGATAATGCTCAATGTAATGACTGTAAGCTAACAGTGGTTCTTCAGGCTTTACTGTGGTTTGTTTTCAGATGTAGCATGCTGCTTCCTCCAATGTTACAAATTAGTGTTAAATTTTTAAATTTGTTAAACATTGTGGACTCCTAGAATCAGCTCAAGTAAATCCCAGTTCTAACCCAGGAGTGACAATCTGCAGTCATATGCACTCTTTGAATAATTTCTTCTCAAGTGAAGATCATTGTAATATAGGTAAAAGAAAAGATGTTCTTAGGAAAGGCCATATATATGTATATGCATGTGTATGTGTATAAATGAAAACAAAAGTCATGACTGGTAATTGTGGCATGATCATTATCTTTGAAGCTGAGAGAAAATTGTAACAATTTATTCACATATTATTCCAGTGAATATAATAGTGAACAGTGGTGAAATTTTAGTGGATAATTTGGTGGTAAGTATAAATTATATAGTCTAAATTGGGTTTCATGTATTTCAAATTCTGTAAAGGCACTCTGTATTTTGAAATATCACACACCTGATCCTTATAAAATAACTAAAATGATTTAAGATTTGGTGTTTGGTGATTTATTTAAATGAATGCTACTAAAGTATTTAAGATGCTTGATTTTTTCTTTCAGTTATTAAGTTTAAGTATACCCAAAAATTATCTTTCTCATTCTTTTTAGAGAATGGAAAGAGAATATGGCTGTCCTTGTATCACAGGAAAGCCAAAAGTTGCTTTTAGAGAGACAATCACTGCTCCTGTCCCGTAAGTATGCAACATAATTAGACTTTGAGACTCGAATCAAAACTTTATTATGGAATATACATAGCATTATTACCATTTAAAGACATTTTTATGTAGGGACACCTTTTATTATGGAATATGTATAGTTCTTTATATAAGACATTGTATAAAGTTATGCTTTGGGATCTGTTTGGCCCCTTAGACTAGATGCCAATGAAGACTGGCATACACATTAGCCAAAGGCATCGTTAACTGTCACCTTCATGCAGGATCTTCATTTATTCCAGTGTTATTTCCTTTGGGAGACGGTTACTGTGTTTTACTTTGGTACCATATTGTGGATGCCAAAGAATTTGCATTTGCCAAGGAATAATCTCCTGCAAGTAAAAAAAGAAAGAAAGAAAGAAAAATGAATGTCATGATAAAATTCAGAAAACAATTAATTCAGTTTATATTTCATGGGAGACAAAAGTCTTCATAAAGAATAGCACAAAATAAGTTAAACTGCTATGAGTATAATACACTTCAACTGGTGTCTACTAAATTTACGTAAGTTCTGATTTACAGTCAAATTTATAAAGCATACTGTGGCTTTAAAAGGATTCTCAGTTTTTAAGGTGGCATCAAATGAAGGTAAATTATACCTTACCTGTGAAGCAATGTCATGAAGTAGAATGGTATAATCTAATTCAATAAAGTCATCATTTCTTTGCTATGACAAAAAATAAAATCTTGCTGTTTAAAACAGTATCATTGGCAAAAATAATGACATTTTGATTTTTTAAATTAGCTTTTATGACACTCCCACTTCAATGCCTTATTTTACTTCACTTTAGCTTGACAGAAAAACAACGACTATCCATTTTTAAGGTATGGTAATTACTTAAGAGCATTATTGTGTGTAGTTTGTTATTTAAGAATCACTAATATTTCGTTCACTAAGAAAATCATAACTTACGTAATAAACTATATTGCTGGGCGTGGTGGCACATGCCTGTGATCTCAGCTACTTGGGAGCCTGAGGTAGAAGGATTGCAAGTTTGAGGTCAGGCTAGGTAATTTAGCAAGTCCTTCTTAATAAAAAAAGGGGGGGGGGGTTAAGAATGAATCTTAGTGGTGGAATGCTTGCCTAGTGTGCTCAAAGACTTGAGTTAAATCCCTATTGCCAAAAAAACCACAAGGAAACTATAGTGGTGTGTGTTTACATTAAACCAATTTGGTGTTAGAAATTCTCTTGTAGAAAACGGAAAATAGTAAAATAAATATAGTCTGATTTTTTAAAAACTTAAGCTTTGTTCTGTACTGTTTATTATTTTGAGACTAAAAATATGCCACCAGCTACACAGAAGGACTGTACCTTTACATCTGGAAGTCATAACCCTCACAGACTTGCTGTTCTGCAGAAGGCTTTTTAAGATGTTTAGTTGGCATACTGAGACAAACCCTAGATTCTAACCAAACTCCTTTGGTTAATAGTAATTACAAATATAATAGTAATTATAAATTTGGCTGCAGAGGTGTGCACATAAGAGCACACCTTTCTTGTTACAGTATCTTGAAGTAATCTTTCCTCTGACTCTATCAACGAAGAGTGACCCCGAAAAATAATGTATACATCTCTAAGAGTTCACTTAGACTTTAATAGGTAAAAAGATATAATGCACATAAAGTGAAGTAGTAGTTAAACCCTTCTATTGAGATTTTCATTAATACTTTTTAAAAAAAATCACAATTTGGTAAAAGGTTACATTTATTTTTTATGGGCTCTGTACCTATGTCAGTTGTTGAAGTTTCAGACCTGAGGGTAATATTATAACCAAGACTATTGTCTATGAAATATGTTAGGAAATGAAGCTCACTGTTTCTGAAAATGTTGTAATACTTAGGTTAGGTCTTGGTATTATTATACTCTAAAGTACTATAATTGGGTATCTTGTCCTCCAGTGCAAGTGGGTGTCTAATTAATAGTTTCAAAAGCCTTTGGAGAAAAATGTGCTCCATCTGCCTTACGGTTTTGTTTCCTAAACAAAGCAGAAGGAAAGTCCATTTCTCCCATGAAGCCAGACTGTTTTTTGTGGTTTCTTTGTATTTTTTCTTTTTTAAGTCTTTAGTAAAGCTAAAAGCAAAGGGTTTCTTATGTCTTTACAGTCTAGGAAGGTGAACTTCTAGTCATTATGTCACATTTAAGAAAACACAGGGCTAGCAACAAGACAGAAAATTGTAGATTATGGCTAAGGTTATAAAAGAGAATTATATGTAGCAATTTAAGGAACTAGTGGTAGAACTGTTTGAGAGAGCATACAGCAAACTTCACAAAGGGGCGACACTAGCGCTAATCCCTGGAGGGGAAATGCCAGGCATATCTCTAAGTAGCTATGGCACCACTACTGAGTAGAGAATAAAAACAGAAATAGTTTCAATACTGAATGACAAGAGTAATTTGAACACAAAATTTAAGTTGCTAAAGGAGATAATTTATATTACGCTGAGCACAAAAACTGCAAATTGTAAAGTATACCTTCCCTAGGGATGGCTATAAAAAGAGCTCTGAGGACATTTGTATATCGCCTTAGAAACCAAGAAAGTCATTACAGATACAGAGTATATATACCTGGCATTCTGTCTTACCTCTACTAATAGTCACTGAACATTTTGCTATAGAAGGGGGTTTGAATGAATCATCTTAATTTAATTTCACTTGCATAACATGGAAAGGCTTAAAAACCCATCATTATCATATTGTCCTGTGAAACTGCAATCTAGACACTACAACTATGTTATATAATATCAGAATAACTATGGTTATTCTGCCTGGTCAGTGTGCATAGTTACTAGGAGGACAAATTTGTGGTAAAAGATATCTGTAGTTTTCATCTTTTAGCCAAATAAGTGACTTTTTTGGACAAGTTACTATTGCTTTGGTTTTTCCTTCAAGTCCTCATTTTCTCTGGTCTTAATTGGAACTAACTTTTTCATAATACCTAGTTCACTTCTGTATTTTAAATGCAAATTGACCAGAGATTGAAATACCTTTAATGAATATTAACCTCAACAATGTATAGATTACTTACCACTTGCTTGACAGTTTGAATTTTTATCATTTTATACCATGTGTTTTCAGTAGAATTCTGCCATATTATATAACCACAGGCAACCCAGGCTAAGTGTCGAATTGGCTTCATTTCTGGAGGTACATTTCCAAAACTGTCTGGTGGGAAAAAATTTATATATATATATATATATATATATATATATATATATATTTTTTTTTTTTTTTTAAATTTTATTTAAAAGGAAAAAGAGAAAAAAACAAAACAAAGCAGTGTAAGGGTACAAGTAATACAGAACTACAAAAAAAATAATAAGAAATCACCAATTAATAGATTACAATTATCATCCTAGAGACAGTTGCTCAAGTCACAGTATCAAAGCATACCATGTGGAAATTCAAACAGTGGACTGCAAACAGTTGTGTTCAATGATCCAACCAAAAACATTAATATCGGCATCTATTTAACACCCTTAAACACACTTGCGGTTGTGTACTTTAGAGCACTTTTTTTTCCCTCTCTTTTTCACAACAAAATTTACACATTTTGGGTTTTATTACTCCTTAGTTATTACTTTTTAAAAAATTTATATATTAAATGTAACAATTCTGTATATTTAGCGTTAACTTTCTACAAATACCTAAATTCTACTCATGTCTTAGATTTCTTCAGATGAATGAAGAAATAAGCCATGGTGCTGTAAAGTTTAAAGGCAGCTTTATTTGTTGTTGGATTAGTTTGAAAATGAGTATTTTTGTGAAAACCAGGATATTTACAGCCTAATTAACATCTAATAATTCTGAGCATGAGTAAGATCAGTCTTAAAACAGTTTTAAAAAAATGATTTTCCACTCTACATGTGTATTCTGGAATACCTGGAATATTTTGTGCTTCTAGTGGCTCCTTCATGGACTTGAGTCTTTGATAAAATGTGTTATCTTCTTCGTCTGGGTTCTTCCCAATGTCTCCTTCAAATGTGAAGTTGACTTCTGGTGCAGTACCTTGTCCCACTGGAGGGTAAAGTACTTCAGCTGTGCAGTTCACTGTAACTTGCTGTGTGAAACATTTTTACAAAAGATCCTTACTTATAGATGACCAGCTATTACTAATTATTATTCTTCAAGCTAGGATTTAGAGCACTGGCTCTTAATGGTGTTCCAGATTTGACCTCAGAGTAACTATTTTGACAGTTATCTAATTGGGCCTGGCCCATTAATTTTCTAAAGATAACATACAAGTACCCTAAAATGGAAATCTTACATTATAATTACTAAAAGTCTCACAATCTTGTAAATTCTAATCCTAAATCTTTGAACTTGGAATATATTTCAGTATTAATGGAGTATTCTACTTGCAAGGCCAGACTTTAGTCTGACTTTGTATACCAACTCAAGTCTGGTATCCCCCACCACCACCCCCGCTCTGGTAGTGGGGATGAATCCAGAGCCTTAGTATACACTGAGGCGGGGTTCACTACATTGCTCAGACTAGGCTTGTTCTCCCTCCTCAGCCTCCCAGAGTACTATGATTACTTTTGTAAGTTTTTCTGTCATTTCTGCTTCCAGCTCCTGAAATAACACATTTTTTTCAAATTCAGAAAGAGAACAATCTCTATATAAAGTTAAAAGACTGTAGCATATGGTTTTGCTTTATAAAGATAACTGTCTAGCAGCTCATGTTTTTTTTAATAATTTGCTTATATTAGCCTTTCCTTTATCTCTTTGGAATAATGTTCAACAAAAATGCAAACTTTTAAAAATTTCAAGATAGTTATATTGCCATTTATAGTTATGCCATTTATGTTGCCATTCCTTTTAAATTTGTCTCAACAATTTGACAGATATATATATATATATATATATATATATATATTATACATATATATTTTATATATATATATTTTAACTTCCTTGCCTTATTACTGAAAGATACTTAAGAATAGTATCAGCTGATCATTCTTTTGCTCGTGAAGATCTAAATAATCAAAAGCAACTAGAAAGGTAGACACAAGGAAGTGGTCAAGCCTGGAAAATCAGGTACTTAATTCAGTCATATAAAGCACAAATTCAGACTGCCTTATGAGTATGTAATGTAAGGTAACTTGTTGAAATGTAGTATAATCTATTTTCTAATAGTACAATAGAAATAACTCAAGATGTCTCTCAGAATACACAAAGATAGTAAAAAAATTGACCCAATTTTAAGCTTTGTCCATGTGGTTAGTGTTTTTGTTTGTTTGTTTTTTAGCCTTAAAAAGTAATAAATCACCTGAGATCAAATCCCAGCAGAGATGATCTGGAATATTTAGAATCAAATTTTATTTACTATAAAGGACATTTCACTTACTTTTTGGATAATTTCTTCTAAAGAAAATTTAAGGTTATACTTGTGTCCTCTTCCCGGAATATCCTAAAATTAAGAAAGTGTGGCAGAGAGAAAATACGTATTATAATAACAAATCAAGCATTTGCATTGTTAGGAAAATCCATTCTCTTTGTTTGGAAGGACTGGCTGATGGAAGAAATGATTAAAGCCTTACATCTTGAAAAATCTATGTTTCCATGTATGTAAAATCTAGGTTAGCATGTTCTCTAGCAAGTTTATTAGGGAGAGAAGCATAAAACTGAAGTGGGTTTAGCTCAGTTTTAATCATCTACCTTTGGATCTGTCATCTTTGATTCTTCACATAAGAAAATTTACATCTTTTAATTCTAAAAATGACAGATAACACTTTTGAGAAATTTTTTTTTTAAATAAAATACTCTCCAAATAGTATGAATTCCATTTTCAGGCAAATGACTGATTGCAGAATGGTTGGCAACCTAATACATTGAAATAAAGTTTTACTTTTATATTAGTGGGCTCACAAATGATCCTTTAACAAATTTTACAGCAGTAAGAAACTTTTAAATATTTCCCTTTTAAATCAAGAGACAAGTTGAAATGATGTTATCTGGTGCTATTCCTAAATGAAGTGTGTTGCCTTGTCAGCTCTTAAAGACTGTTAGCAGTTAAAATGTCAGATAAGCAAAGATAATTAAGGCCACACACACTTACTTTAACCCTTTAGGCAGAGGTTGCCAGTACCTAATTCAGGCAGTCACTGTAGTGCTGTGAGTGGTCTTTGGATGGTTAAAGTCAGGTATCAGTCCAGGAAGCTCTTAGTCTCTGACCTTGGCTGTCAGTTTATCTTGCTGTTTGTTTCCCACCTTCATTTTGGTCAAAGAGTCTAACAAGGATTGATGTTAAAATTTACGCATTAGTGAGTCTTTTGGAGGATGGGAGCTTGTGTTGACTGTAGTAGTTATTCCAGGGCTGGTCAAGAAACCTAGCAGCAGCTCTAAGATTCTTTTGAATGAATCCTACAGGTCTCATTTGAGAAAATTCCCACCTTATCTATCTTCCCGTTTCCTTGTAACAGTGCACATAAAACCCTTTACAGATATTTCTGCAATACGGTGAAAATAAAAAAACAACGAAGTTCTTCTAGCTTTCTACAGACTGTTAGGAGGGGCTGGGCGGTACCGAGAGCAGCAGGGAGCAGGGGATGGGGGCTGGATGAGGCTCGGGGGACTGGGTGGGGCCGGTCCGGGAGCGTGAGAGACTCACCTCCTTGCGGGCCTGCTGTACAGCCTGCACCAGAAACACTTTGTGGGGTGTCCCTTGCTGATAGTTGATGCAACTCTCCGCCACTGAAGCTGCCCTGGACGCTGCGTAGTGATTCGGTGAGATTTCCATCTGGGAGAACGTGCGCGGCTGGTAACGGGAGGGTCTAGGGGCGCCAGCTGCCTGCTGCTCGGTATCCTGTGCGGAAAGGGACGCGAGCGCCTTCCCTCCCTCTTCCTCCTCCTTCAGGAAGCGGCTCTGCGGGCTGCAGCTCCTTGTGTCTTAGAACTCTGGCCTCTCGCCTCTGTAGCCCCGCCCGCTCACCCAGCCCCTACAGGCCGCTCTTACTGGAGGAAAAGCTGGCCAATTGCTGCTCGCCAGAGTGCAGGTGTGGGCTAGGCGGGAGTCCTGGCACCGTACTAACCTTTACAAAAGTGCAGGGCCAGGGCCAGGCGTGCAGGCCTTTTCCTCTTAATATGTCGCTTAACGCTTCCGGTGTGCTCTCCTGAGACACTTTGGCTGCTTCACTTAGAGCAAACGGGCACTGCGCAGGGCCTCACCCAGGACAAAGTGCACAAGTGTGCCATTTAGTGTGATTCCTTCCTTTTCCCATTGTTAAGAGTCCAGGAACAGAGTTTCTGATCCCCAGTTTGTAATGGGATTGCATCAGTTCTGCCCTAATCCATATGTGAGAAACTGCAAGATACAGTACAGTATTATTTTAGAAGACTGTAATTTGAGAAAGAAGAAAATTTTAAAATGCTACTGTACACCCCTCTGCCTTTACTGATCTTAGTAAAGTGTATAACACCATGCTTGTAACTTGAGTGACTTTGAGTATTTTGGTTTCATGATTAAAATACAGAGTATTGCATGAAAAAGCTTCTAAAAAAAAGCAAGATTTTAAAGCTACTGAAGCAGGAGCAAACTTGGTAGGCAGTGCATTTTCCTTATTTTCTTCATTAATTTGTTTTGTCACATTTAAGGAATGATAGTTTTGGCTATTCTTTGGGTAGAGCAGGAAGCTGAGGTACCTTTTAATCAGAACTATAGCCAGAACTTCAACTTCACTTTGGCCAGTCCACTTTTTCTTTTTTTGGTACTGGGAATTGAACTCAGGACTTTGCCATGTAGGTGCTTATGCCACTGAGCTATATCCCTAGCCCTGGCCGACTTAGAAATAGAGATTCTGTCCTTTTTAAAAACATAATTTGAAGGCTGTTTGGGTATAATAAACAGTAAAGCATTTTTCATCCATTATAGTTATATTAGCCAGCAACTGAAGCATCTAGAGGGTGAAACAGTTGTTTCACTTTTCCTTTTTTCCCCTTGAGACAGGATCTCACCACGTAGTGCAGGCTGGCCTCCACCTTGCCGTGATCCTTCTGCCTCAGCCTCTGAGCACTGGCATCGCAGGTGTAAGCCGCCAAGCCAGCAAAGTGGTTTTGCTTCTTAAGCCTTCTCCTAAGAAACTGAAGCTGGCTGTTCTCTTCTCTTCTTTTCATTTTCCTTTTCCTCTCTCTCTTTTTTCTTTTTCTGATAGACATTTGACTGTTACCAAAGTTCTTAGGTTATGTGTATGAATCTTTAAAGGCCTTCTTGGATAGTGTCCAGGAAAAAGTAGAGGCTGACTAGCGATTTGTGAAACTTAAAATTTCATTATCAACAAAGAGTGCTTTTTGAGCCATCAGCACTCTTTGTTAATAATGAAATTTTGTTTCACAAATTGCTAATTTATTTTGTTAGTATCACTTAGAGTAATAAGAAGTACTAAAGGTTTCTAAAGTCACTATTTTGAATCCTTAGGAATACAGTTTTCTCTGTGGATAAAAGCTAGTAATATAGGTTATGGCACAGCTGGCCTTTAAAAGTACCTATGCCAACTTGAGCTCCCTTAAAAATTATTACATTATTACATTAAAAAATTTTTAGAGGTTGTTTAGGTGTTAAATAAATGAACTGCATTAAGAAAACCTCACTGTTTGAATCCTGGAGACTTATTTACCCACTACAGTCTCATAAATGACTCGTTATCAGTCCAGTACCTCAGACTTGAAATAATGGTGTAGATGATCTCTGCAGTAACAAAATTATCATGGGTTTCTGGGATCAGATAAATTATATTATATGTTTATGTAATTATATGAATATAAAACCAAAAATGTGTGTGGCTTACAATTTTGGTGTGACTATAAATTCAAAACTGATACACAAATTAAAAAACTAACGTAATTTTAACATTAATTTTAATGTGTCAGATGGTGTTTTGCCAAAACTAAATTGCCTTTCTCATGCCAGTGGTCTGGCTATAGAACAGAGGTTCTTTTGCTTTCAGCAGTTTTATCTCTCTGCCTGCTAAGTGGTCTTAGTTTTATCACTTTTTTATCTGGATTACTGTAGAATCTATCTTCCTGCAGCGCCTTCTAAAGGCATTTGAATCATTTGTAGGTTGTTAGTTTACATTCCTTGTAAACTGGTATAGTCACTATGGAAATCAGTATGGAGATTTCCTCAAAAAACTAGAACTTAAAAATGCCATTTGACCTAGCTATTCCCTAAGTATCTTCCTGAAAGAGTTAAAATCATATTATAGTGGTAATGCATAACCATGTTTACAGCAGCTCCATTCGTAATAGCTAAATCTTTGAAACAGTCTGTTTGCCATCAACAGATGACTGGACAAAGAAAATATGGTACAGTATTTATATACAGTGAGGCACTGCTCCGCCTTAAAGAAGGCTGAGTTCAAGGCATTAATAGGTAAATAGATGTACCTTGAGATCATATGTTAAGTGAAATAAATCACACACACACAAGTATTGCATTTTTGCCTGGGAAACCAAAATATAAGTAGAAAATAAAAGATAAAGGAAATACATGTTTTTCAAATGGGAAAGGAAACAAGAGATGGAGGGAGGGAAAGGGAAAGGGAACTATCTGAATAAATTAACTTCAGCTATCACAACTTGTATTTTCAAGTACTTGTTCTTTATTCCAGAGATTTCAGAAGACAATATTGTTCTTGGGAAGGGAGGCAGTCCAAAAGAAGTGTGTAAATTCTTTGAAATGTAGGTTATTAGATCAAGAGGTTTTGACAGAACTTTTTAATTTGGGAATCAGAATTAGCAGAATTGAAAACTGTAGATTACTTTGGTAGTGTACCCCATCCTCATCTATAGATAAGGAGAGAAATCTTTAAATTAACTTGTGCAATAAAATTTTGTACTAGGGCCATCATGTTCAAAAGAAAAGGTAAAAGTGATAAAATGGTTTTTTGTCTAAATTAGTAAGTTATTTTATTCTGCTAGTTGCATAATGCTGTGTTTTTTTCTCCCGCCTAAATCACTTTTAGGTTTGAGTTTACACATAAAAAGCAATCAGGTGGTGCAGGCCAGTTTGGGAAAGTGATAGGTGTCCTGGAGCCTCTGGACCCAGAGAACTATACCAAGTTGGAGTTTACAGATGACACCTTTGGGACAAATGTTCCAAAACAATTTATACCTGCTGTGGAAAAGGTAAATCTTAGCAAAACTTTGTTGCACTTTTATTTATTAAGAAGTTTATTTGGTACTGAGTCACAAGTAAAGATAGGTAATAGTTGTTGGAAATTTATGAAATTCTGTGTTTGTTGTTGTCATGGAATAATTCATTAAGATCCTCAGCACCTGCGTGTGCTGTCATCTTTGCTGCTGTGCTCTTTGGTAAAACAGTGTTCAGAACTAGCTCTTTTATTTGCAAACTGTTTGTAAAATACTTAACCTGCAGCCTTCACAGAAGGAGACCATGTAGCATTTCACACAGATAAGGAGTTAATGTTTTGTTTGCTTTGCACAACATTTGCTTAAAGGCAAATGTGTACCTTAGGAAATGTGATTGGGGGCTGGAGATTTAGCTCAGCGGCATAAGCGCCTGCCTTGCAAGCAGGCAGCCGTGAGTTCGATCCCTGGTACGGATAAAAAGGAAAAAGACAAAAAAAAAAAAAAAAAAAAAAAAAAAGGAAAGGAAATGTGATTGAAATAATCAGTGAATGTATACATTTTTAAAATGTATTACAGCAGGGACCAGGGATACAGCTCAGCAGAAAAAATGCTTGCCTGGCAAGCGCAAAGTCGTGAGTTAAATCCCCAGTACCAAAAACAAAAGTGTATTACAGCAAAAGGTACACTGTTATTAACGCCACTGAAAATACTCCTGCTTATCCCATTGTTCTTACCTCTTTCTGGAGCACTTCTGAAGTCTTGTTTGGTTAGTGTCTTCATAATGAGATAATTAAAAATATAAGGAATGCAGCAGCCAAGTGGCATCCGGTGGAAAGGCAGGCTGGTGCAAACATGCAGACCTTAGTCCCTAGATCTGGCACTGTACTACTTCTGAGTCTTCTCCAAAGTCTTAGTGACATTAAAGGTAAACATTGTGAATTTAAATAAATTTAATAAACTGAGGCAGCCAGAGCGGCACTACTAAATATACTCATAAAAGAAGACTTCCAGAATTGCTTCAGGATGTAGCGAGAACAATAGCATAAACATATGTGAAGCAAGGGGGTAAATTTTGAGAGAGATTAATGGCAATGTAGTTTTACTGTAGTAACTTTTAAACAAATTTTACTATTTACTGTATATTTTAATCACAGCTAGGGAACAATTTTTTTATTATTAAGTATTTTGTGTTTTTGTTTGTTTTGTCTTAAAAGTCAAACCACCAGTTTTGATGGAGATTTTCGTTTAGGGAGTTGTTCGCTTTTGCCTTTCATGTATCTTCATTGTAGGATTAAGATCATGCTGTTTTTGTAATGGATTACAAGAGTTAAGGTTACGAGAAAGTGGTCATTAACACTCTTAGCATCACTTTCTATCCAGGTTGCACCTTTAGGTAATACATTTCCAGGAGTTACTCATCTAGATACCACAGCAGTGCAATTTAAAATGCTAATTTAAACTTTCTAAAAACTTTTTTTTGAGGGCGAAATACAACAGACATCATAAGAACATTACACTCTGAATATAACTATTGTGGTGTTTGGCAATGCATGTGGTAGGTGAAGTTCCTTTGTTTCTGAAATCATATTTATTCCTCAATAGGGGTTTTTGGATGCCTGTGAGAAGGGCCCGCTTTCTGGTCACAAGCTCTCTGGACTCCGGTTTGTTTTGCAAGACGGAGCACACCACATGGTTGATTCCAATGAGATCTCATTCATCCGAGCTGGAGAAGGTGCTGTTAAACAAGGTACGCTGCTGCGTCTGCTGTGTTGTGTCCGCTTTCCCTTTGGGTTATCAGAGCTTCAGAAAACAACACTCTTCAGTCCTCTTTACTTAGAGCACTTGGTGATGGCTAAATATTTATAGATTTGAGGTGAAGGTAGACTATTGTAATCTTTCTCTTACAAAATTTAAAGCCTACTCTCTTCCTCCAAACTATTTTTCATGTGTTTAAGTTCATTAATAATCTGAACTTTTTATAGAAAAAACAAGTGCTGATAAATATAAGAAATATTTTAAAGATATATTAACCACAATCATACTATTTTTAGTAATTTATTTAAATGTCAGAAAGTCCATAAATTTGTTAGTAATTTTTTTTAAGTATCACATTGTATGCTTTTAGGCATTTTGAGAATGGTAAAGTATTTTGAAAGAGTTTAGTAGACCTAGACACAATGCAAACTCACTGCTAAACTGATAAAACTGTCAGCCTTTTCCATGGAGAATAATATGTGTATTAGGTACATGTATGAAACTGTGATGAACTAGAACAGCAAGTAATTAATTGTGAACATATATGACTACCTGCTTTTAAGAGAAAAACCAGGGAACAATATAATAATTTGATATCAGTGTTATTCAAAGTAACTTCAAATGTGTGTCCTGAAGTCAGAAAATTCATTCTTCTAGTCACTCGTATCATATCTGTTGATTTGTAACTCATTAATAATGTCCGTAAGTTTCTTACTGAAAAATTATGATTCACAAAACATTTCAGAACTAATTTCATCCAACAGAGTTAAATGACAGTAGAAAATTAAATGAACCATAATATTTCATAAGCATTCTGTAAATCATGGCTTTATTGATTCTGTATAAATTTTAAACTTTATGTTGCATTTAGTCTCATTTTGCATCTGTGAAAAGGTATATGGAATGGTTGGAGAAGGTTGCTAATTTCATGACTAGGTTCCTTATCTCTGATTTTGCTTAACTTGTTTGGAGCCTTTAGTAATTTATGCTGCAGTTTCTCAACCTAGTAAATGTGCAAAGAAAAAGCCTTAAAATTGAATTGAGAAGCTTTTGCCAGATTACGCAGATAAGCAGGGTGCTAGTATAAAAATGAATTATTCATGTGATTCTTTTTTTTTTTTTTTTTTTTTTTTTTTTTGTACCAGGGATCGAACTCACAACTGCGTGCTTGCAAGGCAGGCGCTTATGCTGCTGAGCTAAATCCCCAGCCCATTCATGTGATTCTTATTTCTTCATGCTTAAAATTATTTGAAACATCACAGTCTGCCACATAAATAAATGCAGTTATTTTTTGTCAAATAAAACTAAAGCTTTAAAAGTAAAATTGGCCCTTATATTCCTGAAAAAGAGAAAGATAAAAGTGTAACAATCTGGTCTAAGGAAGTTCTTGCCAAACTTAATAAGAAAACCAACTTTTTAATATACTACCATAGAATGCTTATATGAGAGACTGAGAGTGAAAATATTAGTAAATGAGCTTATGAGTTAATATAATTCTTATATGATAGTAAAGTATATTACTGTGTGTTACATTTATCATATTAACAGAATGAGAAGAAAAATATTCGTTCCCATTGTCATGTGTTCTAATTTGAGGTAAACTTTAAACTTTGTCCCTGAGATTAATTGGTGGTGCAGCTTAAAGCCAAAACGAGCGATTTAATGTTCTCTGGCTATATTTTACTCTCTAAATAAGACCATTGTCATATTTTGTGTGACCAATTTGTAGAGAGTGCCATAGTCAGTCTCCCCAGAAACACTGAACTGACCACCATTTTTTGCAAGAGAAATAAAGTCCAGGCCAGAATCATATTGTTAGTTCATTTAACTTGATTGTGTCCTCTTTTTATCTCGTATCCCATTTCATGCCAGGCTTTGAGTTTGAATCCAGACCCTGATTCTTCCTTACTGTACAAAGATGGACAGGTCATCTGAACTTCCCAAGACTGCTCGATAATAAGTCCATGGATATTAAATGAAAATATACTTGAAAACATTTGCAACATGCATATTTGGGCATAATGGATACCAGTCATTCTTCCTGTTGGACTGCCCTTGACCTGGCACTGTGCCTTGCCACCTGTTCTCCAGCTATTTTGTCTCAAGAGTAGTCAGACTAACATTTGTTTATTGCTTATGTGCTATGTATTATGCCATATATTTGCATTATCATATGTTATCTTTGGGTGATGTTAGAATTGAAAAAGTTTAGGCTCATGTGGTTAAGTGAATGACCTAGGGTTACTTCCTAGTTCGTGACAGCTTACAGTGAAATCTAGACCAAAGTCAGCCCTTGATCACATCCTCTTACAACCACTTTAGGAGGTGGTCTGGTGATATAGATATAGTTACTAGTGAATTGAATAGAAACAGTACCATTACTGTCTACTACTTTGGCTTAAAAAGAATCCTATGATGATAGCAGTATTTTTATGTCACTGTCTTCAACAATTAAGTGATAGGCACTGAACACTGGCCTTTTCCTTTTCTTTGAAATATGATCCTTTCACAAATCCTTTTACTAACCTGTTGAAAATACTAAATATAAAAATAAAGTGAGATAAAATGGCCCTTGGTGCCTGTAAAAAAATAAAACAAACAAGAAAACACTAGATAATGTATAACTAAATCTGGATATGTCTGCTCACATCTTTCATTCTGGGCCCCTTTTCCAAATTACTTACATGTCTTTGGAACCGAGGAAGCTCTACTAACCCTAGAAACTCTGGTAACACAGAAGAAACAGTGCTGTTCCTGCGGTCTACAATTGTTACTCCGATAGAGATGTCCCTGTGGGATTTGTCAGGGCTTAGTCAGTAAAGTTTAGGAGTTGGCAGTTTTTCTGTACATTGAGTTACTCCTCTCTTCACAACAGAATTCACTAGGTCAGATTAATCAGAGGTAGGTGTGAGTGAGGATATGATATGAATTTTAAAATACTTCTAAGAAATGTTAATACTGTTAGCTCTGTATGCAGGGCTTGTACTTGGAAAATATTTTGAGGAAAAAAATTCCATAAAGCTGCAGTGCCCTCAGCATTGCTGAATTCCAGTGAATGAAGTAAGGTTAGAAGCTTCGTTGTTTCTTTCTCATGTTCCTTTGAACATTGTTTGCCTTGCTTTGTTCATGTACTACATAGACATGATGGTTGCAACAGCACTGAACAGATGCATTCTTTTTTTGTCATTATTCCCTAAACAAGACAGTGTAAGAATTTACATCGTATTATGTATTATAAGTCATCTAGAGATGATTGTTTAAAAAGTAAATGGGAGATTGTCCTTAGGCTATGTGGACATATTAAACCATTTTATAAAAGCAGGTTGGGCACCCGTGATTTTTGTTGTCTAAAGAAGGACATGAAACAAGTTTCTCACTGATATTCAGAGATGTCTGTATTTTAGTACTGTTCTTATAATTATTGCCCTTACTCTAATAGTGTCTTTAGAAGTGCTTTAAAGATCATATAAGAGTGCTAATTTTTTTTTTAATTTTTTTTTTTGTCTTTTTCCTTTTTTTTTTTTTTATTGGTACCGGGGATCGAACTCACGACTGCCTGCTTGCAAGGCAGGCGCTTATGCCGCTGAGCTAAATCCCCAGCCCCCTTGAGTGCTAATTATTATTAACAAATTGATGCTTCTGAAAAAACTATGATTATTTTGAAAGAAAAGTTTGTCATCTTTTCTGTGTCTCAACATTTTTATTTGGAGATAGTGCAGCCAATGTGAGACTGAGGTATTTAAAAGAACTATGAATATTTGAAGTTTTACTGTACTCTCTCCATATTGTTGTACTTAACCATCAGCCATCATTTGTTGAAAGAAGTGTTCTGCTTATGTGTTAAATTGGACAAAAATAGAGATATATATATTGAGTCTTAGTGCAAAGATGATTCTTAACATCTAGTCTGATGTCTTTATTTTGTAGGAAAAATGTGAGTCCTGGACAGAGCATGTTTCCACAAAAGGCATATATTGTCAGACATAGAGCAGAAACTAGAAACTGGTCTTTTGATAATGTTAGGTTCGGAAATTTCAACTTAAAAGAAGCACAGATATCAGGAGTGACTTGATTCTTATCTTCAAGTATGTGAAGGGTACCTTCTGCAACCCCCATGCCATGTTATTGTTTTATTATAAAAAAATAACTGCCAGGAACTAACAAGAAAAACAGACTTAAGTTAAAAACTAACAGTTCCTGGAATCAGAGATTAGGTAACACAACTGGACAATTTTCTTGATAAAGGACTTGATGACTGATGTTTTAAGATCCTTTTATATTCTTTGCAGTTTTATGAGCTTTACAGATAAATATATGTTGCAGGGTGTGGTGTGGCTCATGCCTGTAATCCCAGCACTCTGAAGGTTGAGGCAGGAAGATTGCTGTTAAGTTTGAGGGCAGCCTGGGCTACAAAGTGAGTTCACAGTCAGCCTGAACTACATAGTGAAATCTTGTCTCAAATAAATAAATAAATAGTAATCGAAATAATACTAAAGTTAAATATTAATATTATTTTATTGGAGTTAGCTTTCATACAGAAGGATGGCTATTACTGCTACACGAAAATGAGTCTAGAACAACAGATAGATAGTTGATCATTTGTTGTGTAGATTTGGGAGTGTGCTACCTGTGTCTTGATCATAAAGCTGGAAAGAAAGAGTTCTAGTTTGTTTAATGATCAAAAAAATTGTTTTAAACCCAGCTTTGTCCAGTGCAACACTGTGTATCCTGGAACCTATTATGGCTGTGGAAATTATAGCGCCAAATGAATTTCAGGGATCAGTAATTGCGGGAATTAACCGGCGCCATGGAGTAATCACAGGGCAAGATGGAATTGAGGACTATTTTACACTATATGCAGATGTAAGTACTATTGGTCATTGTGTTTTAAAAAAAAATTTTTTTTAACTTGTAGAAGAAAATCAGCTTCTGTTTTTGGCAGTTGTAGAGCAAATTGACATGTTTCCCTCTTCAATTTGTGGCTTCTGTATTTGTAACAATTTCTGTAATTTGCCTTTTAGAGCAAAAGTGTGAAGTTAAAAATAAGATTCATTTCATTTGGGTCTTTTGTGAATATGCTATTATTTAACAATTATTTTTTCTTTTACATTGTAGCTTTATTTGCATAGCTACTTTATTATATTATCTGTAATGTATTGGGATCATGTTTAATTCTCTTACCTATACCTGTTTTTACTTACATCTAGTGGGAGAGAGTTTATCACATTGCAGAAGACCTCCTGGAAGACACTACAATCAGCTTATCATTAAATTATCCAGTGAGAGTTGGGAGGTGTAGCTCATTAGTAGAGGCAGCCCTGGTTCAATGCCCAGCACCACAAAAAAAAAAAGGAAAGAAAAGAAATAAAAATAGGAAGTAACCAGTGGAAATTCATATTAACATTTTCATAGAAGAAACATTCCTTGGAATGCTTGAGCTGGTGGCAGAGAATGAAGTGTGGTTAAGAAAGATCTCTGTAAACTGAAATGTTTCTAGTTGTAACTGTTGTGACTATCAACTATGGTTTCCACATGGAATAAAACAGGTGTTTCTCTTTGGCTTTTAGTTCTTTTAAATACAAAATAGTGAGCAGGAACCTACATCTAAACCATTATGTGACTAACACCTCCTTGCGTTTTTCTGAGTATTTTTCCATGAGCAATGCTAAAATATCTCTTGTGTTTGTTTTTAGGTCCCTTTAAATAATATGTTTGGTTATTCCACTGAACTTAGGTCATGTACAGAGGTAAGCAAGTGTTTAAACTTTACTATCGTGCTTTTCAAAAGAGCACTTTATAGATGATCAAATTTATCCTGACTGTATGACCTGACAGATGTAAAAAAATTCATCATCTGTTCTTTTCTCTCCCTCTCTCTCCCTCTGTCAACTCCTAGGGAAAGGGAGAATACACAATGGAGTATTGCAGATACCAGCCATGTTTACCATCCACACAAGAAGACCTTATTAATAAGTATTTGGAAGCTACAGGTCAACTTCCTATAAAAAAGGGAAAGGCCAAGAACTGAATTTTCTTATTTTATTATTTTTAATTAAATCTGCAAGGTTTAGAAATGATACGTTTCAGTGGAACCAGTTCAAGTTGCTAAAACAAATTTCAGAAGCCTTTCCTATTTCACATTCAGGAACTTCTGTTATACTCAAAGATAATTCTATGTGTATCTTAACTCTGTTGAATTGGTTTTATAGCTCATTATAAAAACCCCTAAAAGATGACTATTATTGTACTGAAATGTATTTAGTATTTATTTACAAGAAGAGACTTGGTTATACTTCTAAGCTTGGAATATGTGTAAACTTGTTTCCAAATTTTTTTATATGACAATTTTCAACATAAAGAAATGCTGGGAAAATAGTACACAGAATAGCCATATACCTTCTATGTTGATTCTACTGTGACTGTGGTAACAATTGGTTTATCTAATAATTTGTCAATGCCTCATGTTGACTTGAAAATAAATTTTTGTATATCGGGACACTTCTTGTGTCATTAATGGACAGGCATTTTTTGTTTGAGTGGATTCCATATGTTCTTTTTTTTAACATTTTATTTTAAACAGAAAAAATAAAATTTCAAAACAAGATAATAGAGTAGCAATGGTTAATGCATTGCATATTGTTATCTTCAAAAGTAGAACAGGGTTATTAAAACAGTAGCTAAATTTCTAGTTTGTAACATGGCCCATTGTATAGCTTCTGCAAATTCCTGTTTCTGTTTTAAGAATACAGATGTTCCTTGCAGCCATACTTGAAGTAAAAAGCATACCCTTAAAATGTCCTTCTTGTTAATGTTCATCTTAGTTTTCTTTCTGTGTCCCTCTGTAATGACTGATACATTGTGTCAACTTGAAGAAGTTTGAGCCACTGGGCAGGGGCCAGGATCCTCACTTTGCAACAATCTGGAACCTGCTCAAGAGGAGGGCAGGGGAGTGGTGTGAGTGTGAGTGTGAGTGCTGTACACACCCTGTCTGGGTGGTAGCTCACTTATACTGTTAAGAGGGGAAAAGAGGCTTGTTCTTCCTCCCTTTTTGCTCTTGTTTCTTTTTCTGTCTTCTGTCACCTTAAAGTGTTGTCCCTGTGCCAGGCCACCATGCCTTGGAGCCAGCTGATTATGGACTGAAACCTCTGTAAACGGTGAGCTAGATAAATCTTTCCTTTTCTTAATTTTGGGCCTGGGATGTTTTGAATCAGCAAGTAGAGAAAAGTAATCCTCTAAAATAAAATACAGGGTATAAAGTTGCTACTCATTTCATTCACTTAGTTAAGTAGTTGAATTAAACTAGATTATCATATACCGTAGTAATTTTGGTGGGTAGGGGTTACTGGACATTGAACTCAGGACCATGCATTTGCAGATAGGCCAGGCACCACTGAGCTATATTCCCGACTTATGTTAATTGAGATTTTAAAAGGACAAATGCTGATCTTTTATTGCCAGAACAGGTCAGGTTTTCCCAGGGAGTTCCACTGTACTGTTCTGATTTTTTTCATCTAAGAATTATCTGATGCTATACACTTAACCTTAAGTCTTTTCCCTTGCTGGTTAATAGAAATAAAATAAGTGATTTTGAGTTCTTTTAGTTTTCTTTGTAGATTTGACTTTATAAGTTGAGGTTTTTAGGAAAAATATTTTTTAAAAGTATCAAGCATGTTTTCACACTTGCTGCTTGGATTAAATGCATTAATTCTTACAACCCCAGGAGGTAAATACTCTTATTATAATATGTGTGTTTCATAAAAAGCAGAGGCATACAGAAGGTAATTTTTTCTAGGACTACACTGCTGATTATTAAATGAGTATTTTAGGTCTATGGTGAAGTACATTTCCCTCATGAATATGTCTATTGCTGCAGTAGCATCAAGCCTGAAAAATGTGGTTGCGTTGGCATCATGTCAGCATGCTGTTAATTAATATGAGTATAATGCCCGATGAGGAAATACTTTCATAGAATTCATCATGATCTCTCTGGCTATTTAGAATAGCCACAAAGATGGGAATATATGGCAATCTGTTAAATATTCTGGTTTGAGAGTGTCAGAAATGATCCTCGGTATCAAATGTATTGCATTTCATAGGAGATGACATAGTCCCTGGAGGGATCAGGTAACTCAACACACAAGGGACAGATCCAGGAACCTATCTCATATCTCTTGCTAACTCATTAGCCTAGTGATAATTTGTAAAGACTAAATGTCAGCCAGACTCTAACACATAGAAAAGATTAATGTGAATATTTATAAATAAGGATTTATTTTTTATATTACTTATGTGAGGGATATAATTGTTGGTTAAAGAAAAACAACAGTGCCTGTACCTGGAGAGGAGTAGCAGCAGTAGGTATTTTGCATGTATGTCCCGTCCTGACTGCACTTTAAAAAGTCACCTGGGGCCTTAGTGAGAAGCCACAGGCACACCTCAGTTATTTGGAGTGTCTGGAACCTTCCCAGGTGATTCCAATACGCATTCAGCATTAAAGACTACAGCAATTTTACTTGCACTGAGGCCTAAGACATGGAATGAAAGATTTTTGCAATTCAGATATGTGTTAGTATTCTCAGGGTATCCGAATTTGGACTATTGCTTCTTCATTTGAATACAGACTTTTTTGTTACTGTTAACTCTGATTGCATAGTTTATGAAATCATCAAAATTTAATAAGTATTTTTTCAACATAGTGAAAGTTTTTTTCAACATAGTGAGACAGTTGCAAAAATTTTTTTTCATATTTTAAAGTTTTGCATTTAAATTTATCAGCCAATCAAAAGTAGTAAATTGACATGTTTGAATGTATCCCTTTGTAGAAAATAGTTGTTTGCATTGCTAAACTATAAGTTGTTGAATTGGAGGTTTAACTGCTGCTTAAGTGTCTTCAAATAAATAACAGTGTAATGTATCACTGAAATAAGTTAATTTTCTATACAGAACATTTATTCAAGTAAATGTCAACTATACGATAGCTGTTTAAGGTTCTATGCAAGCCAAAAAGAGTCACAGAACAAGCCTGAATTTTCTAAGCTGAGAAAAATTGATATGATAAACTAAGATGTTAAACAGAAGACTAACATTCAAGTGCAAGTATAGAAACCTTTAGTTGACTTTCAGAAGTACTTGTTTAATTTGTACCAATGTATAATTCAGGTAGAAAAAATGGAAGCTGAATGGAATAAAGTAGAATGCACACAAAACCCTGGTACATATTTTGCATGTCTTAAAATTTGGAAAGTTCTAACAAGATGATGCAGGTGTGACTCATTGGCACACAGTGATTCATACAGATTGACACACTTAATGAAAAGAGAGCTTAGTGGTAGCAAACCTGTGGCACACGTGCTTCAGCCTGCTGTTTGTTACGGCTGAAAGCTCTGTTTCTCCATTGCCGGCTTAGGGAATTTAGGTTTTATATTCTATGCCAAGCAGATTGAGTATTTTCTCTCCGGTGTTATGAAACATGTTAGTAAAACAAGTTATCAGTTTTAGAATTTGTGCTAGAAAAGACGTTCTAATGATGATAGAGATTTTTAGATGATACTGAAAACTGTTTAAAGTTTTGTGAGTTTTGTGAATTTATAATTTAGGTATTTTATTTGGGTTTTTTTTTTTTTTTTTTTTTTTTTTTTTTTTTTTTTTGGTATACAGTTTCCCCTGGTAACTTATATACTGAAATAAATTTGTTAAAGGGTCACCTCAGAATCCTTAGCTGGGTGAATTATAGTCACATTTATAAGCCTGCTCTCACTAATGGAAAATGCCTTTTTGAGAATGAGGACTTAGAGAAATCTGAAACATCATGTAAAAACTCCTTTCTAGTCCTTTAAATACTAAATGAATGACTGAAGAACATATCACATTTAATATGATATAATAATGTCCTGAGAATCTGTTTTTGATCATTTAGGGAACTTCAGTTAAAGAAGTTTCTCTCTTGATTTGGCATAATTTAATCATTGTAGAGTGTTATTTTAGAAAGAACATTTCCTTTTCATTACCACTTAGATGAGAGAGCAGAAGTTTCCTTTGGTACAGTGTTATAGAATACTTAAAATCCCTGGATTTTGGGCAGGTAAATCCACATTTGGGATTTTAATTAGAAAAATACAAAAATTAGATATGCTTGTTTTTATAACAGTCCATGTCAAAACTATTTTTTTTTATGTGTGTAGACTTCCAGTTACATAACTGTATAGACTAACAGTCCCTGAATTATGATGGTGGGGCTTAGACATCTTTTGACTTTACAAAGATATGAAAGTGATAGACCTTTAGGAGACACTCTTGGAATTTTTGAGTTTTAGCCAGGCATGGTGGTGCACGCCTGTGATCTCAGCACTCTGGTGGATGAGGGAGGAGGACTGCAGTGAGTCTGGGATAGAGAGATCCTTTCAAACAATTAAAAAAATGTTTTTTGAGTTTTGATCTTTTCCCAAGCTAGCAACAAATGCTGTTTGATGCTGTCTTGAAAAGCTAGGGAGCAGCGGGGAGACCAAGCACACAGTCACCAGAATAAAGAACCAATGCATCACAATGTGCAGTGTTACTAAGGCAGGTTGCTTTGTAGCTTAAAGGTGTTAAATGTGTATGATATTTTCAACTTGTGGATTTATTGGGACATAACCCCATTGTAGGTAAATGTGTGTCTGTATTTTGTTCTAAGGCTGATGCTTCCAAATCAATTACTGGTCAAGAAACCTGGCTCAATGTTTTTAGACACTGACATAAGTGTTCCATTAAATTATGGTAATTTTCAGAAGCAGATGATAGCAACATTTCCTAGACCAATTTTTCTTGCCTTAAGGAGGTACTCCGCTGAATTTGATTATAGTACATGTTATGTTTTCCTTCATAAATTACTTAGACAAACACTGGATTCACGTGTCTTTATAAATAAAAGTTGTAAATATTTTATGTACTTTGTTACATTAGTGTTTCTTTTAATACATGTTTGTGGACAGCATTATCTGATGAGCTACCATACATGTAAACTGAATCAAGCAATACTGATTTTATTTCAGTTCAGCACAAATCTTGCCTATGCATACAAATCTCTGCAAACACATTTTATTGTTTAACCAACATTTTTTTAAAAAGGTATCAAGTTAAAGAAGAACACTTGCTTGAAATGATAGAATATAATAAAGTTCCTCAGTTCATATCTTCTCAACAGGTTGCTTTCTTTGCAAATATATTTGTTGACATACAGGAAGGAGCAATTTAGCAACATAAAAATACCTATAGTACGTTCTAAATACCAATTCAGAGGTGAAACCGTTTTTTTTTTGGAAAATAATTACTGATCCATTTTCAATATATACTAATTGATTGAATTTTGCACTTTAGGGCTAAAACCTTGAACTTGCTGAGGACTGCTTAGTTGTTGCAATACCCAGACCTTAGTTGTGGTACTATAAGGACAAGTTAGTATAATCATTTGTCTACAATCTAATATAAGCAGATCCTTTTTAAATTTTAGATGTTACTAAGCTCTGTTGATTACTCAGCTGATCCTTCCACAGTTCCAGAGGATTCTTCTAAAGTCTGTAGCTCTTGACATTGGTACTTCACTTTAAGTGGTTTACCAGGGTACCAGACCAGGCGAATACGACATGGAATAATTTCCTATGAAATAGTCATAAAATTAGAATACAACCTGCAAAAACTGAAGGTAAAAACAATTTTGCATATAATTTTATGCTTTACCTGTGTTGGGAGTTCATGAAGTAGTACGGTGTAATCAAAATCAATTGTGTCATTAGTTTTCTAAAAGAAGAAAAAAATAGCAATATAATAGATACATACGAGCATGTGTCATACACATTCTTGTTTAGTATGGGTACCTTGGGTCTGCTGTGGCCTTTAGATTTCAGCCTCATTTCTTTGGTATATTCTGCAGCAAGATGATGGAAGTCATGGATACTTTGTTTTTTTTTTCATGGAATTATGTGAAAGTGTGGTTCAGTGTTAGTATCATTTTTCTCTCTGGTATTTATAGTTTTTGATGAAAGCTGAAGTCTGTGGGAAAATGTAGCAACTTTTGGGATCTAGATGCTGTTATATGAATCTCAAGCTGATTTTAGCCTGGCCATGCCAGGAAACAATTAGACAAGGGAAAGGCAACCAGTATTTCTAGGATGCCTGCTGTAGGCCAGGTTCTATAGTAGGTACTTTATATATAGTTTTATGTAATTCTGCCATACAAAAGTGTATATTACAAGCCTGGTTTCACAGGAGCTGTAACTTGAAGTTACATCTAGTAAGTGACAAATGGTGATTCAACCCCTAATCTATTGATTCCAAAACTCACATTTTTCACTTATACACTATAAAACTGTAACATGCTGTTTCTAAAACCAGTGCATGAGATATTTTTCAGTAGGTAGGCAAGTGGTTCTTGGTGCTTTTGTTTACCTGACACTGCATGTTTTACTAGTGACTAAAGACAATTTTCTATTTTTGACGTTTTCCATTTTTACGCCCAAGAGGCTTATCTGTTTCCTAGTCAAAATGGAAGAGGCACTTTTCTAAAAAACAAACACACACCTTAGTGTGGAATATAAGTTTAGCAGGTTTTTATTAAGACCTGCAAAAGTATAAAAAAGTAAATACAACAACAAAAAAGAATCTGATACATTAGGTTTTGTCTTTTGCCTTCATTGATGGAGACAGGATGTTTACATCAGGTGAGGAAGATGTTGTAAGAAAATAAAAGAATCTGGGTGAGTCAGAAATAGACTGCTTTTTATATGGTGGGTTCTTTGTAGGTCTCTCCTGCCTGACAGTGTACCTGTGAATGTTCAAACATCTGCCAAATCAGAAAATACATCAGAGAAAATTCAGTGTCTCTTACAAGAGAACAAGTTACAAAAGTTCCAATTATAGTTGGCCATCCATATCTGTAGGTTCCACATCCATGCACAAAACCAACCAAAAATTGGAAGTATTTTTTATAAAACTGTGACTGCCCTAATCATATGTGAACTTTCATTATTCCTTAAACAAAATAGTTCAAAAATTATTTATATAGTATTTACATTGCTTTAGGTATTGTTAGCTAGAGATGACTTAAGTACGTAAGAGAATATGTAAAGCTTCTATTCAAATATAAAAGTGACTTGAGCATCTGGAGATTTTGGCATTGGGGTGGGGCTTGAAAACAGTCCTCCAGAAGGGAGAATTAGATCTAGTGGTATTAGGGAGGGGGACAGTATTTAGCCTTGTTAGATCTTTTGGTGGCTAGCTTGACCTTAGGAGAAAATGGTCATCTTTCCTAAAATGTTCTAACAAGTTGGCTGTTAACATTTTGGAAATACTGTACTATTTGATTAAGACCTTCCTCAGTAGTTACAAATCACACCTTTAACATTGCAATTTTTGTAAAGTCTTCCTCCAGGAAGAAGCAATCTTAAGACAAACCAAAAAGGCACAGCTTATTAAAGCACTACAAGATACCACACTTCTCAGTCTGGCAAAGTAGTCCAAAACTGGAGTGCGTTTATGTAGTCAAGCTCTGCCAGGAAGTCAGATAATGTCTTTGGCTTCTTTTCAAATCATCACAAATGCCAAGTCCTTGTAGACCAAACTGATGGTGATTCATTGTTTCATTTTTGAGCACTCAGTACTTCAGTCTTCATGAAAACAGACTGGAAGTGCTTTGTTCCCTTGTGATCCACCCATATCTTATCCACCAATCTTCTCCAAAAGAGAATAATTCCTAGTGGAACCAATATGCTTTAGTAAATAAGATTAAAGCAGACTAGAGCAGGTAGATGAGGTGAATTCTTTGGCTAGTAGAGACCTCAAGTTGGGGTAAAGCTTAGAGTTGATTGTAGTGATTTACTGCTGGTTAGATGATTTGAGGTTCTTACAGAATCTGGGTCTGATTGATAAGAATTGGAACAATATTCAGTTTTACTTTTCTTAATTCATGTTAAAGGCTAAGGATACAGGAAAGCCATTATCTGGTGTTTTTCCTAGCTGATGTATTTCCCTTCTTAGTAGTCTACATGTTCTTCAGTTCTAAAGCAATGATTATGCTAGGAAGATAGGTCATATTTAAAGTCGTCTTTCTTCAGTCTTCTCTCAGAGCTTGTTTGCTTGGGATTGTGAGTTTATAATCTTGCATTTACTTGCATGAAAAGCTGAGTCTAGTCCTAAGTATGAAGTTAATAATTCCCATACAGAAAGTTGAGGAAAACTACTTTCCTGAGCGCTCCCACTCAATTCCTGCCTATGTGTGTACCTAAAGGCCTCACATCCCTGTCACCTGGTGGCAGGTCTCCCAGAACAGGACTTAAGTCTGCTCTCAGTAACTTTTAAAAAAACACTGATAGTTTTGCTTTTTCCTTGTGTTGCTTCTTGTGCTGAAAGATGGAAATCCTTAGTGATCAGTGAATAGCAGAATTTGAAAATGTTTGTTGACATGTGTGCACACTACCTTTCTTTAAGAGGACAATAAACGAAAATGCCTATCAGATTTGAACCCAGATTTTCCTCTTCTCCAGAGATTTAAGTGTGTTAGTTTCCAGAGCCTCAGTCAGTTTATGTCTTCATTTAGTGGTCCTAAGAAATGATTTACCTCATGTGACCCAACAAGTCAGATGCATATTCAACTGTTTTCTAAAATTCAAACTCCACGTAGTAAAAGAAATCTAAGATTCTTACTAAGAGAAATCCTCTCTCCTTTTTTTAACTGTGGTTAAAATGTGTGTCCCCATTTGCAGGGATAAAAAGACTGAAAAGCTTTTAGCTTGCAAAAGAACTGTGTCCAGACTTAATAACTATTCAATTAGGTCATAATTTCTATTATTAAGCACTCCATAAGTGGTAAGAAAGATAAGAAAAACTAGGCTCTAGCTGATGTCCTACAAGTGACCTTTGGAGGGCACAACAGACTATCATTGGCATTAAAAATGCTGGTTTAATGTTGGGCAAATCTCCATGCTCAGAACATGATGATCTATCCATGGATGAATCTATAACATTATGAATTTTAAAAATCGGTACAATTGATTCAGCTTGTCTCTTATAGAAGTTGATTTTGCTTATTCTGAAAATACTTCTGTCACACTTGCCTAACAAAAATCCGAACCCAGGCTTCACGTATTTGACACATAGACCCACACAGCTGTGTGTGACTGGTACTTGGGTTTCAAACTTCGAGGGCTTGTAGGGCTGCGAGGTGCTCCCCTCTAGTTCCAGCACTGCCTTATCCCTGCTGTCAGCTGATGACTTCGCCTCTTATTCACTGAGCAGGGAAAGGCAGGAAGCATAGAATCTGCTCCTTTCCCCCTTGACACCTGCCTCTTACAGTTCGCTGTTATTTAATTTCCCTCCAGGTGAACTCTGTGGGTTCCTGTCTGAGATCTAAAGTTAGAAGGATTTGGGGATTCCATCCTTATGTAACTAACTTTTTCTGTGCACACCTTTACCTGTGAGCCCATCCAGTCTTGTGCCTTTGAATACTATATACACAGACATAACTCCAGCCCATTCCTCTCCCCTGAACTTCAGACTCAAATGTCTAGCTGACTACACATTCTCTACTTTGTTACGGAATTTAGCATGCCAAAAACCAAGATAATTTCTTTGAATCTGTTCCTCCTATAGTCTCCCCATTTAGTTAATGAAAACTGTGTCCTAGTTTGAGGCCCAAATCCTAAGCATCGTCTTAACCATTTTTTGATATCCATATCTAACCCACGAGTAAATCCTATCAGTCTACCTGAATCCAGACACTTCTCACCATCACCATTGCTACTTCTGTGGCCAGCCCGCCGCCGGGCCTTACCTAGATTTTTACAGTTCTTGATTTTATCCCCTTGTTCACTCTGCTCAGCCACACTACGCTCACTGCCGTTTATCAAATCCATCTGCCACACTGCCGCCTCAAGTTCCTCTGCCCAGAATTCTCTTCCCTTTTGAGGTCATGACTCCTTCTCAGTTCTGTCTTCGATGTCACCTCTGCTCAAATTAGCCTTATTTTTAGACTATATTGATGGTCATTCTATCAAAATCCTGTATTCTCTTTTCCTACTTTTTCTCCATAGCACTGACCAGCATTTGATACATATTTATTAGTTCAGTCTTTCTGGTCTTTTTCTTCAGAATTAATTTCAGTGAGGGCAGCAACCTTGTGGTGTTTGTTCACGGTTACATCCCCACTCTGTACTACCTAGCCCATGGCAGACTCTTGAATATTTGTTAAAGGAAGGAAATGCAATGGCAACTGTCATGGAGTTAGAAACTCATACTAGTTTAGTTAGAACACTGCATTGACTGTGCTCGCGTCTGGTTAATGTCCGTATTTCTTACCCACTGCTTTACACTAGTAAGCCGGACCAAGTTGTAGTGTAGGAATGGAGTTGTCTTTTCCCACATCACATATGAGCTGCCCAGAAAAGCCAAGTCCCAGATGGGTCTCAGTGAGGGATCGATGTGTCCGTGACTGTCTGAGGAGAAAGAAAAGCACATATGAAATTTAGGCACATAGGAAATTTTTGAGACAAAATTTTAGAAGCTTCAGAAATGAAAAAGGTTTAAATTTAGGCTATTTAAATGGCAAAACCTTGAGCTAGACATGTGATATATCTGTTTCTATAGAAACTATCCTTCAACTTGTCATACTGAGTAAACCTACTACAGTGTAAGGCTATGCTGTACTATATATAAAGTGCGAGCTAAAATGACATTAAAATTTCATCTTAAATTCTTACTAATTAGGTTAAAGTTTGATTAATCTCTATGTTAGTTGGTAGAGATAGTCTTAACCTATGAAGGACCAGTAATTCACAATACACAAGAATACTAATACACTTATATTAGGAAATTATTCTTGATAAAGTAATTTTTAGCATGAATTCTATTTATTGGTAGAACCTGCCTTGGCTAGAAATATAGCTGATCCACTCCTTAAGATGGGAGGGAGCAGACAGCTGAGGGAGAACAGGCCAAAGAAGTTTCTTTAGGCTGGAGAGGTATGGGAAGGCTTTAAGGAGGCGAGATTGTGCAGGGCCTTGAGTTTCTGCTGTGTACATGGTGGGGAGGCCCAAGTGAAAAAGTAAGCACACCAAGACAGGAGGGCCCTGCGCAGGGGCAGACAGGGACCAGTCTGAAGGAAGTACAGTGGCACCATACTGTGAATAGTCTTGTAGGGTAGATTTTGATTCAGTAGCTAAGTGTGGGAAGATAAGCTGAGATCCTGAGCCACACACTTGGGAGGACACTGACACCTAACAGAGTAGATAGGAGACTACTGCAGTAGTCCCAGGAATACATACTACAGGTGTGAAGGACAGGCACAGGATGGAGCCAAATGCTTTGTGGAGGTAGGCTTGATAAGAAATGGCAAATCATTAAATGTTAGGAGTTTATAATGAAAAAATTTTTAGGTAAACTCTAGAAAGAGTAATAAAGGTCAAAATATGCAAGCCTTTTGGGTGAGTTGGTAGTAGGTGTATTAAAGGTGATGTCAAAAAGCCACAGAGTACACGATGTTAATGACTACAGACAAATGGAGAAGGGGTAGAGGCCCATTACGTTTGGCAATATGGGTGGTCTGTGGCACCAAGACACAGCAGTTTCACTATGTATGTAGTGTAGAAGCCAGGAGGGAGGAGGCTGGGGAGGCAGCAATGCATATAGAATTGTTAATGGAGAAAAACCTGGTGGTCAGCTTAACGCCAGTTGAATTAAATCAGCTGTGTGTATGTTCCACCTGAGGAAAGTTGCTAGCATAGAGACCTGGAGAAGACAATGAAGGCTTGTGGGTTTCTCTGAGTTTTGCTGTTTGAGCTGTTGGTTCTCCTGGAGGAGCTCATGACTGGCCTCATCTGAGTTCGACCATGGTCATTGGAGGAGCTGGGAACCTTGTTAGTGAGAGTGGCTGTGGTTCACTTGGGGGAGCACTGGTCCTTACATGGAACATTGCTTCCTGGCTGCGGAAGGGAAGATGTGTGCTGTTTAACCTCCAGTAGAAACTCGTCATGCTGGCTTCCTGGCATGTACTTAACTGTTCTTACCACTGGAGGAGCTTGGGACCTCCGTGTCACTGAGGATGGCTGTGGTACTTTTCAGGGCAGCCCTGGTTCTTATTTTGAGTGTGACTTCTCTGGTCCAGTGTAAAACCCTCAACCTACCAGCACAATTCCTTCACTCCACTGGAATAGATTTTCTAGCTTCCACCACTAACCTTTGGGCCTTCCCAGCACAGATCCATAAAACAAACTGGCATGAGTCCTTCTTGTGGCTCTAGACCTCCAGCTGGACTCATGGGAGGCACTGTCTTGGGCTCTGGGTCTTCATCTAGACTCATGCAAGACATTGCTGTGGGATTCAGGCCCTTGGCTGAATATTCTAGGTCTTTAGTGTTGTGGACAGATTCCCTGCACTTTCTTGTGTTTTACTCTGGGTGACCATCATAATATAAATTGTGTGTCCTGATTCTAATTGTTTTCACAACCCCTGACTACAGTAAGAATCTACTTTAGAAGAGTAGAAAAGTGAGGAAGGAGATGGGGTGATGAATCTGTGATGTAAGTGGTTAACAAGAGCCTTGACCTTGACTGTCTTTGTAGGGCAAGACATGGAACTGGTAGTTTTTAGAAATGAGGAAATTGATGGAGGCAAAATCATGAAAGAAGTCATAGAAACTAGAATAAAGGGCATTTAAATAAAAGAAGCCTAAGGATAAAGGAGTAGAGAAGACACAGAATTGGTGAGGTAGAGAAACTAACAGGAGCACACATTTCCAGACAGACCATCTCCTCAAAGGGTATGTGTAGCCTGGGTGTGCTCGGAACTCAAGGAAATGGAAAGGCCTGGGCACAGGTCTAAGTGGAGTGCAGTAAGGATTGAGAAATGAATACTAAGTGGCAAGGAGGACCCAGCATTTGGAAAGTGCCCTGGGGATGGGGGGCAAGAAGCTGTGAGGGTAAAGCAGAAAGTTGCCAGTTCTCCTGCCTGCACTGTCATCATGCACTGTCACACAGTTCCTGTAAGGTGTCCATCCCTGTTTCCTGTTTATTGACAGCCACGTGCCTTCATACTTAAGAACTGGACACTTTAGTACTCTTAATTAACTTGTCTGTGATTCCATTAACCTGATTTTGCCTTTTTTTCTGCCAGCATACGACATTAGCAAGGAGCTGTGACTGTTTTTAAAAAATGTTATTACAGAAAGTATGTTTCAGACTTCTAGTTTCTGACAACACTATCAGTGTTTTATGAATCTATCATTTCTCCCTAGTGGGAACAACTGAACCATTAAGATTTCAGAACATTAGGTAATGCAAGGCTGTGAGGTCAATATAGCAAGGGGTTTCCATCATCCTTGTCTTCACTGATTGAAAACTTCCTGCAGTTCACCATCACATATTTCATCTTTCAGTGCTGCTGTAAGTCTAAATTTGTGGTGTCCAAACCCATTACTTGGAAGATAAATGAGTTATACTATGTACTGTGAATACTGAAGATACTTGAAACAATGAACGCTCCAAGCAGACAACTTCCAGTGATTATTCACAGCTCCTGGTCTTTTCCTCTGTCTGTACACGAGAGGGTCAGTTATGGGAATTTATGAATTCATTAGAAGTAATATTTTTACTCATTAAAAACAAAATGACTGGTTTTTAAAGGGAAAAACTATGGAACAAGAACTAAATATTCTCAGCGTAACAATTACATTACAATAGTCTAATGCTTTGAATTGCTTAAAAACTAAATAAAGAATATGCTAAGGTTTGAACTGGCTACTACAGGGATAGCTCCATAGCTTTGATTCACCTTATCTCAAACCAAACCTGAGCTTGAAGTAGTTTTCTGTATGTGGACAGACTGTAAATAACACTACTGTCTCTGTTGTATTTACAGTGCGAACAGGGCCTGTGAGTTTTGTTAATGAAAGGTACCTCTATTAAGATTTTTTTGAAGTTTCATAGCAACTGAACTGCCACAGAACGATGCTCATGAGAACATAGGATGTAGTAACTGAATAAGATACTGAAGTGTTGAAACACTGCTGATCCTGTGGTAAATATTAAAAGTAAATGTCCTCTGCAGATTTTAGATGTGTATTTTGAGGAAGCTAGATAAGCCTGTTTTCCTAACTGAAGGGGAGAAAACCCTAAATAAGTACAGATTTCAAGTATCGGTACTGCTCTGAATAAATGAGTTAAAGACTAAGTATAAACACATTGTGCTACTCCTCATAACTGTTTGGCACTGGATTTGATCCGAGCAAAGAACTATGCTGTGAGAAAAACTGTTTCTGAATTTTGGAAACACAAGGCAATATTTTCACCTTTGGGATTTTAAAAACAATTACTGAGTGTCAGTAAATTGATGGGGACCAGATATACTCAAGCATGGAGACTGCAGGTCCTCCGATATTGACATAGATCTGTCGTGGTCTCTGGGGGTAGCTGGGAAAATGAGCACATTGGGAGAGTGTGTGGTCAGATGTCAAGCTTTATTCCCAAGTTGTGCAAGTCCAGAGATTGCTTTTATGGTTTTGGAAATTGAATTTGCCAGTAAGTGCTGAGTCCCAACAGCTGCCCACACAGTCCGTTTAGTGCCAGGACTTGAGCTGAGTCACTGCAGAGGGCAGAGCCTCTCTATTAGAGATAGCCACCATTGCCCATTAGCTGTTGACCTGAAATCAGGTAAACATGACTCCAGGGCAGCACCCACATCAGTGAGGCAGCTGCTCAGTGGCCCTGGTATGTAGGGCACAGCAGAGGCACAGGAGGGTGTCTTGTCATCTAAGGCTCCTAAGGCTCCCATCAAAAAATGTCTAGAAATGTCACTTCCCACTCTGGAACTCACTCTGAAAACTACCCTAGTATGCGAGCCCAGTCGTGAAGACTGCCTTACTGTTTACTTGGAGGTTCAGCTCTTGCTGCACCCATGTTCTCAGATGGAAAAGAGACCCAGGTAGCTTTTGGTGGAGATACTAATTGTACTAGAGATGAACACCAGAAAAAAAAAATCTCCGAGTTTTCTTTAAATAATGAGGCATACCACCATCTATAGTTGAATTATCAAGTGCCTCTTCAGGCATAAGTTATGCTCATTCTTTTTAAGATTTAGCAATCCCCAAATACAGAAATTCCAGATACTGATTATACCAGGTATGTTGGCTGCCTTCAGAGGATTCTTAAGTTGCTTCAGTTGCTTGTAAAGCAGGTAATCATCTTCTTGTCTTTTCTTTTTCTCGATGCTCCTTGTACAGGTGATATTAATGGCCGGTCTGGGTTTCTCATTCTTGAAGAACACATGGGCAGAACAATTCCCCAAATGCTTCTCACCTTCCTTAAGTAAAGATTTTGGAATTAAATAGGATGGTTCCCATCTGTAGCAACACACACACACACACACACACACAATCGAGACCAGGTCATTGTGCATGGCAGTGTGCTCTGTCACTAATACAGTTTTTGCTTGATAGAAAAAGACTCATAATGCAATAGTCCTTTACTGTTGCCATCATTTAAACTCTTGACTTCTGGCTGTGACTATATGCTTAGTTGAATGTTCAGGTAGCTAACAAATTAAAAGATAAAGTTGGCCCCTATGCACATCTATAACATATTTCTGCTGTTTTGAATTATATCCTCTGATTCCAATAAACAACTAAGATATTTATGTAAAAAAGAACCTTCTCCATGACTCACAGCTAGTGAGTGGTAAACCAAGGTTTGGTTCACTTATGTCCAAACTCAGCTGTTAGCTCCTTACTAACTCAACAACTTTACTCTGAGACCAAGTCCAGAAGTGGAGGAACAGGTCATCCAAATGCGACTCATTCACCAACCTGAGAGCTATATGATTACATTCATGTCTAAATGAAGATTTATTTGGAATTCTGGCATCACCATCACTTATTTCCAGTGCAGAGGCAGCTTCAACTAAACATAATGTGTAAGATGCTTTTCTAGGATAGTGGTTCTTTACCCATTTGATCATAGATTCCTTAACCCAACAATAAAAGCCAGGGAACTGATTCCTAGAAAAAGGTACTTGTTCATCTCATCAACTAGAGGTCTGGAATGTGAAGGGGTTCGGGGACCAGTAGGCATGGCCCCACCCAAACCCAGCCACAGCCCCCTAGTTAGTATTTCCTGTTAAAATGAGATTTTCTGACCTGTTGAGGGAACAACTTCTTTTCACGTTTGTAGTTGTATAAATGGGTGGAGTCCCAATTAAAACCACCAGAAATGAAAGGAAAAGGCCCACAGAGAAACAAATTGTAATCAAAGTTGGATCTCCCCCCCAGCCCCCGTCTTTTTCCTTTTTATCGGTACCAGGGATCGAACTCATGACTGCCTGCTTGCAAGGCAGGTGCTTATGCTGCTGAGCTAAATCCCCAGCCCCTAAAGTTGGATCTTTTTAATAAGCCTTTTTCTATGATTAACTCAAAAAACTGAAGTAGGTTTTCCAATGGGGAACTTTCCCATCTGTGCCAGTTTTGAGTTAATGGGAAATTCAGGGGTACATTAGGATACTAATTTTTTAAGACACAATAGAAAAAGGGGAAAAAGCATTTCCAGGAAGTCATGTCAGTAGGCAGAGGACATGTTCTCTTTTGATGTCAATCATTTCCAGGGAGAACAAAAAAGAACCAGGTAAGGTGTTAGTCTCTTTTGTCTTGCATTCCCCTCCCCCAGCACCTCCATGGAAATAAAACAGCTGCCTGAAGATGAAAGAATCCTCCTTCACGTCCTGAAATGGAACACTTCAATTAGCCAGTGGTGCTCTTAATGTACCCATAGGAGCAAATCCAGAGGAACCTATTGTTGGTCAAAATAAGCTGGTAATTATTCTCCTGTTAGCTTTAACATTTTTTCAGTTTGTAACACTAGAAATCAAAGACATCTTCCATATCCTTTAAGAAATTTTGAACTCTTAATAAACACAGCATACACTGTGGTTATGTTAGAACTTGTTTCTGTGTGCTGAAAAGCATTCTTTCAGAGTATGCTTACCTTTGCCTCTAAAGCTCTGCCTTCCTGAGATTATTTATTGATTGATTGATTGGTACTGAGGATCGAACTCATGACCGCATGCTTGCAAGGCAGGCGCTTATGCCCCTGAGCTAAATCCCCGACCCTCCTGAGATACTTGGATGCTGGGTGCTGCCCACTCTTCTGGGTTGCCAGGACTACGAACGACACTAAGAAAATCTGTGTTGTTCTCTGCACCCCTGTCTGGTGGTAGCCGCCCAGCCTCACCCAGCACTTGGAAGTTCACTTGGCTATGATTTCCACACATGTTTTCTATTTACTGTCTTCTTGAAAGCAGTAAAGCGAACTTGGCAAAGCATGGTGGGAACTGCAGTGAGGCTAATACTGCCTGCAGCAGGCCACGGTACAGCTCTGAGTTTTGCAGGATGCCCCTATCTATGTAAGCTCATGGGACTCGCCTCATGCAAGGCTGGCTAACCAAAAATGTCACCAGTTGACAGTAAAGAACAAGTTGGTATTTGAGAGTGCGTCATTCTAAGGACACAGAGGTGCTAGGAAGAAAACCAAAGGGAGCTGTGAAATTCTTTCCCAGGGGCCCTAAGGAGGGGGAGATGACTGTTCTGTGGATGATTTTAAATGCAACTGCATAAGGCTATGAAGTTGAAGTAGTTGAATCTTGATTTTTCTGCTTTCTCTGTTTTTCAGTTCTTAGGACACACAGATAACAAAGCAGAAAAATTAGAGCAGGGCTTTATTTATTCAGATTCTCACTTTTTAAAAAGTCTATTCACAGGACTTGCTAAGAGGATACTTCACTAATTGTGGCTTACCTCCTGGTTGTAGCTTTGTGTGCTAAAGACCAGGTCAATTTTGCATCCTTGTTTTGAATCAACCTGAAACATAAAAACAGGATGTTATTATTATGGAAATTGCATTAATCATTAACACCCTCATCTAAGAATCCCATTCATAGGATAACATGGCATGCAAATAGTAGTAGTTGCACTTTCACTTGAATGAAATTGGGGATTTTTTTTTAGGAGAAAAGATTCTCAAATTTGGGTTCCATCATGCCACTGTTTGCTGGGCCGACTCATACTCACAGAGGGGAGTCTGAGAAAAGAAGATAGTTGTATTTAGGCTAAAGTCCACCTGTCAGAGCACTGGGGATGTGCAGGGAACTGAAGTAAATTCCTTCACTCCCTCACTGTTCAGTACTTTCTCTGGCCACGGACCAGGCAGCTGGTGCTGCATCTGAGAGTAAGATACTTCAGGGCTCTCCTTTTCCCACTGTGGGCTGAACAAAGGTACTGGGGTGAAGTCATGTCTAAGCTGAGATCTGAAGGGCAGGAAGCAAGTAAAAAGTGGAAGAAGGGAGGGTCGCGGGGGTGAGATAGCCACACCGAGCCCTAAAGGCAAAGGGTACCCTAAAAGCACCATAAGGCAGGATTTCCTTACAGGCCTTGGAAAGTTTCATTTGTTATGAAGAGAATTTGGAACTTAATCCCAAAATTTGTGGGAACCACACTAAACATAACTACAGAATGTAAGGTATTATAAAGAGTAAAGCTAAGGCATAATCAGGACTCAGGACAGTACCTGGTCTGTCCAAAAATTAATGCACTTTACTATTTTTATTATGTAAATCTATAGACCTGAGGGAGGGGAACTTGTGCAAACCAGTCTAGTCAAAGTTCAAGGTCAAAGGACAGGGAGGAATAATAATGTGAATTCCATGAAGGTTTGTGTGTTACTCAGCTTCCTTCACTGCCAAATACCTAAGAAATGGCTTAAAGAAGGTAAGGTTTACTCTGGCTCACGGTTTCAGAGGTTTCAGCCCATGGTCACTTAGCCTGCTGCCTCTGGGCCTGGGGGGGGGGGGGTTAGTACCTTAGGGAGGGGAGCACATGGTAAAGGAGTCTTTTCACCTCTTGACAGCTGGAAACCAAAGAGAGAGGGGAAGGGGCCAGGGTTCCAGCCTTTCTGTCACTGTCACTGTCAGTCACCTAATCTCCTCCCACTTGACTCCACCTGTTAAAGGTCCAACCACCTCTAAACACTGTCACAGAAAGGGGACCAATGCTTCAACGCTTGAGTCTTTGGGGGACATTTAAGTTCCAAACTATAACAGTTGTTTAAATGTGGTTTGCTTCTGTAAAAATGCTTCTTTAAACATGAACAAAATATAAGCAAGTCATGTTTGATAGTGGCTGAACAAGGGTCCCAGGGTCACTCTCCTTCAGAAAGTCCTTGAATACAGTGTCTTCACTGCCTGTCCTTATCAGAGGAACACATAATAGTGGTTGTGTATGCTGCCTTTGACACCCGCAGCAGCATTAATCCCACCAACAATGAATTCTCAGAGGAGGCAAAACTGTTGCTTGCCCATAGGTCTTAAGCCTTGAGCCCCAGGAGTCTCTCTGGCCACTGCATGTGAGCTGGAAGACCTGGAAGCTGACTTTGAATGTTTGTTCGGAGGCTCCTGAGTGTGACCTCCTTCTCAGAAGCCAGCTGTCTAGTTAGGTTTGGGGTGGGAAGGTTGGGGGGGGCATTCAAGAGAATAGCAGGAAGCTGAAATGGATGGGTTCAGTCTGGCGTGCAGTACACTTGAGATGCCTAGGCAGGTTCAGCAGAGGAAGTGGTGGGAGCTGTGGACATGGGTGCCAGCCCCTGGGGGACACATGGAGAGTGAGAAGAGCCTGGGGAGCATCAACTTTCATGTCTAGATTGGGTGGACTTAAAATTGTGCATATTGTCAATAGTAGATTTAATATTTAATTTTGGACTAGCTGTTTGTGAATACATGGGGCCTGAGGTCCCTGTAACTATTCTCTGTAGGGAAAGAAATAGAATAAGACTAACCAGGGCTCTGAGCTGAGTCAATATGAAGTCTGTCCTTTGAAATTATTTTCTGGGCTGATTTGATTTCCTTATTTAATTTTAACAATGGACTCAAGAGTATCTACATTTCATCCGAAATAGGCTTTTTAGATTTTCGGTTGTACTTTACCATGCATTAATACACAATCCTTTTGCCTCCCCCAAAGGCCTCTCTTCTCCCCCTTCCTCTGAGTCACAAGTTCCTGTGATGCTACTTTGCCAGCTTTGGTGAGATAAGCTGCTCCAGCATGGGGCCTGTGAGGACCAGTGCCACCTTCAGCTGATCACAGTGTCTCACACTCCTGAGGTTTTAGGCTTGTGTTGAACTTTGATTCAAAATATTCTGTTATAAGGAGTTATTTTCTGTTCAACAACATCCACTCAAGGATTTATTGAGTGTCTACATTCCAAGCACCACAGTAGGTTCAGGGAAATACAATGAGCAAAACAATGGTAGCATCTGTCCCCTAGTGGTTTAGGGAGAAGGACATTAACTAGCTTCCTGTAGAATTACTTGATTATGATTAACCTGTGAGCTATAAAAGTCTAGCTAAAAAGTTACGGAAGTGACATCAGAGTTGAATTCCTAAGATAAAGAAGGAAAGGGCTGGGGAGGGACCCCAGAAATATTCCACACAGAAGGAACAGGGCTGAAGGCTCTGATGAGCAGTCAGTCAGGTTAGAAAGCAGAGTCTGGAAAGGCTGATCAGGTGAGCAGGGATCTGTCCTGAGGGAAGGAGAAGCCAGGGACCAAAAGGAGGGATCTGGGAGAGATTCTCCTGCTGGAGTGTGGGTAAGTGCTGCCGGGGCGGAGGTGTCCAGGGGGGAGTACAGAGAGCAGGAGGTTGGCTGAGGTGGGGAGGTCAGTAGGACCCAAGCCAAATAGGGACTGTGCAAATGGAGAGGAGTACCAATGCCAGTCCTTTGTAAAAAGATTGGAAAAATGAAGCTATGTATAGTCCTGCACAGCATAGAAACACCATGGTCAACAATGGATCACATATGATGTGCTATAAGATCATCAAAGCTCAGAAGTTACGGTCATTCACGTACATCATAGCTGCCATAATAGGCTACTTGGGTGTCTGACACTGGTATTAACAAACCTACTACACTACTTTGTATGTAAAGCCACAACACATACAATTAGGTGTAGTACATAGCACTTGATAGTACAAGACTATTGCCAGTTATGTATTCACTATACATTTATCATTACAGTCCATTCTACTTTTAAAAAATGTTTACTTTAAAATAATATGTAGTGTCAGTCACAGCTTCATGTAACTCATGCTCATGCATCTGGATTGCATTAAAAGACCTCACTGACTGACCTAATACCTGTATCACCAAGAAGAATACTCTATGATGTTCACAAAATGATGAAATTGCCTGACAACCCAGGGCGCTGTTGTTATGTCGTGCAGGATTATAATTCCAAACCAGAAATAATCACTGAAATATAGCATTTTATGTTTATATCCGGACAACATCATTAAAGAGTCATTTAAAAGATGCTTACATTTGTCGAAGAAGAAAAATAGGTGTCCTCCCTGGTCAAGGCTGAGTCCTGTCCTAAGCACTTTATATGTGTTAAGTATACTAACAAAGCTCTCAAGACCTATTCAGACTCAGCAGAAATTAGAGAAATGCAAATTAAAGAAGCACTGGATAACTGTCAAACTGGTGACTAGTTACAAATTGTTGGCCAAGGTTTGGGCATTAAGACTGCTGTTACCTGGCTGGTGGAGACTAGCTTGGTGCAGCCCACCTCTGGTACTCTGCGTGGGAGGTCAAGCCAATTCACGGGCATGCCTGTCATCTAGAGAATCCTGCTCTGGGTTTGTAGCCCATGAAATTGCAATGCAGGTCTATATGGGGACTGACTGATATGAGGGGTGCCATGTGGTCATTGTGTGTGTTGGGGAGCCTGGAAGCAATGTGGTGTGCAGCCTGGTAAAATGGAGATGGAATCATGGAGCACCGTGCAAAAGGCAGAGCTGAGAGGTGAGGTGTATATTCAGCACTGAGAGTAAAAACAGAAACAAAATGTATTGACAATGCCATTAACAAAAATTTACAAAATAAAAATGCACACAAAAAAGTGGCTTTCATAAGAATACCTATAAACGAGAATGTGCAGCACACATAGTGCTTATCAATGGTGAGGATGGGTGGGTGGGAGTGAGCACAAAAGGGAACACACACACACTCACACACCCCATCAATGTCTCCACTGACTGAAGACAACAGTGAACCCTGAACTGAGGACCTCAGCCGTTGGCATATGACACTAACAAACTCATGGAGGTCTTTAAGAATATAGGAAGCCATTTAAAAAATGTGAATCCAGTCCAAGATAACTTGGTATGGATGCCCCACCCCATGTGGTAAATTTGTTCTCCCATTGTTAGTGTGTTAGTGGTAAATTGTTTACCACAAGGGTTGTGAGTCTAGAAGTCTGGCTCCCAGGCCCTACAGCCAGGAACTGACACATGGTTTCCTCTTGTCTTGACCAGGAGCCCTTTCTTATGACTTGCACAACTGGTTGCTTACAGCCATATATTGCAAAGTAAGTCCATTAAATCAACGCCATTTAAAAAGTAATTTTGAAGGATGAATCCAACCCTGGGCAAAGCCTGAGAAACAGCTCTGACTTTCCCAAGACAGAATAGCCTGTAGCTCAGACAGCAGCATTTTAATGCCTTACACTCCACATGGCCCAAGATATCCATGTGCAACACAGAGGAGGAAACTACATCCCTTTGTTAAAACATAGCCAGAGGCAGAGCATATTGTTCTAATATGTTCCAGAATAATGCTCTTTACTAAAAATAAACATCAACAAGGCAAATGACCACATGACTACAGAACCTGAAGGAATCAATCAGTAGCATGCTCTTCCAGATTTCTTTAATTATGTATAAAAGAGAATTAAGAAGTCTTCTTGTATACCTTAAGTATATCATCTATATGCAGCCCAAGACATTTCTTCTTCACTCAGTGTGGCCCA